TCCTTTATCATCATGTGATAAGGGTTACTTGATATATTTACATTCAAAAAAGTTATTAATCAAAATGTACCAAATTTACATAACAAAAGTGCACATTAAATCTTTAATTTTACTATATTTCTCAAATGCGTTTATTTACATAAATTATCTATTTACTTATTTCAATCTATACACCATATGCTAACTAAATATCGTATTTACAATTCTTTCAGAACATAAAAATATTCTCATTATTTTCATATAAACTATTGCGCAGTTAATTAACTTCTAGAAAGTTCCACGATATGCTGCGCTGTGATTGGTCGAAATTTTATTTAATGTTTAAAGTCGTTTATATCAACTTATTATTAAAACGATACTTTATACAAATATATTACGAGTTGTAAACATACTGTAAAACTATATTAAAACACAATTTGTTCGATTTTGTCGCTAATTTCACTTTTTAAAACAATTTAATATTCTTTAATCACTTTTTGCTTAAAGTCTTTAAACCGTCGCGAACATATTTCATGTCTAATATCTATCGCAAAAAATATTATCACTACTTTAAAATGCACTAAGTACTTTTAAACGCGGCCCGCGAACGTATTTGCGCGCTAAAGTTTGGCCCTCAACATGTCAAAGGTTGCCCATACCTGGTCTAGGGCATCCCTTCCCGACTCTGCCTTTCACTTCTGCAACATAAATTTGCTATGTCACTCTTTCCTCGTTCATTTTTTCTACATGACCAAACCACCGAAGCATTCCTTTCTTAATCCTGGTCATCATGCAAGCTACACTTTTCTCTTATCACACTATTTCTCACCCTGTCATTCAGATTCAGCGCTAGCATACTCTTTAATGAACGCATTTCTACAGTATTTATTCTACTCTCATGTTTCTTCTGCCAGACCCAACTTTCACTACCGTTCATTAATGTAGGGACTAACACAGCATTATGAACTGCCATACGTGCCTTATTTGACACATTCTGACTCCTCATAATAGCGTGTAGAGCCCCATTCACTCTATTTCCTGAAGTCACGTTCACTCGTCGTTCTATATCCTTATGGGATGTTTATTTAGCAGGTATGGTAGATATGCTACCATCCCTGCTAAATAAACATTCCAAATATATAAACTCATCCACTTGCTCAATCAACTCCCCTTCTATTCTTATTTCACATAACGTTTTACTTTCTTCTCTTTCAAAAATCATCCCTTTCGTCTTACTTGCGTTCACTTTCATACCCCTTTCTTTTAATGACCAGTTTATTAAAGTAATCATCATTTGCAACTCGGCCGCCGACGATGCAAATATGATTTGATCATCGGCGTACAAAAGGCTTTTGTCGATTAACTCACCCATTCTCAACCCACATTCTTCAACTTTCAAAGTTTGCAAACAACTTTCCATAAATAGGTTAAACAGCCACGGAGAAGCTACACAGCCCTGTCTGATACCTTTTTGAATGCCAAACCAGTCCGAGTAGACCTCGTTGATCCTGACACAAGCATTAGAGTCCCTATAAAGAGACCTTAATGTATGTATCAAAACAGCGTTGAGTTCAGTGTTTGCCATAACACATTCCTGTCTACTCTGTCATAAGCCTTTTCCAAGTCCATTAACGCACAAAAAACTTTTTAGTTTTTGGCCAAAAACTTCTCCGCAATCATGCGCATGGAAAAGACTTGATCCGTACATACCATCCCCTTTCTAAATCCAGCTTGCACATCATCATTAACACCTTAGCATACAGTTTACCCACAATGCTAAGCAAGCAGATACCACGATAGTTTTACAGTCCTGCTGTGACATCTTTCCCTTATATATTGGGACTATAACGGCTGTGCACCAGTCTTCCGGTACCCGCTTCAACATAAATTGAACAAGGTGTACAGCAGGTCTGCAACCACACCCCCTCCAGCCCTTAGCATTTCGAGTGATCCTCTATCATATCCGGCTGCCTTACCTGCTTTCATGCTTTTCACTGCTATCAATATTTCATCTACACTTATCTCCCTACCTCTCTCCTCTTCTTTCGGAATTTCTATTTAACTTAATTCAGACGACTCTTCACTCTTAAACACGTTCTCAAAGTATTCCTTCCATCTCTTTAAATTCGAAACTTCATCATTTAGCATGCAGCCATTCTGGTCTCGTACAGCATTCATTCTAGGATGTTTTGAATTTCCCCTGGCAGTTCTTACGAGTTTCCAGAACATTTTAATATTTGTCTGGAAGTTATCAGACATCCTTCTATCATTCTTATCCATCCTTTCTTGCTTCCTTTCAACAACTTCTTTTACTCTCTTATTTATACATCTTAAGTCTGCCTTTTTTTTAAAGCCAGCACCCGTAAGGTATGTACTGGCTGTCAAGCTTAACGGTAGCGAACTTGTAAGGGTGTCATCCTTCAAGTATCTCGGTCACGTCGTTACCGAGGACTTGAAGGATGATAAGGATAATGAAAGGGAAAGGAGGGTGATGGCAGTCCGCTGTAACATGTTGGCTCGTAGATTTGCACGTAGCAGACCAGATGTGAAAATAACACTATTTAAGGCATACTGTCAAACACTTTATACGTGCAATCTATGGGTCAACTACACGCGGGGGGCTATTAATGCTCTCCGAGTACAATATAATAATGGTACCTGAGGATGTTGTTGGGGTTTGCAAGTTACTGTAGTGCATCAGGGATGTTCGCATGAGCGCACACTGATGGGTTTCACACCGTAGTGCGCAAGCGAATCGCATCCCTCATGCGCACGATGCGTGGAAGCTCCAACACCATTCTCAGGTTGAGATCTATAGATCGTACTTTGACTTTGCTCAGACTTAGCTTACGACAAACTTAGCTGAATATATGCTTAGCATAATCTTTGGTTCTGAATTTATAGTTGTGTCGGGCTAAGATTAAGCTAAGCTTATGCTAAGGCCCAGAGAGTTCAAATATTTATGGATGCTTCATTCCACGCATTATGTTTTTGAATTTACTGTATAAAATTAAAAAAATATATATATATTTAAAATCGAAAAAAATCCAAATTGTATTTCATAAATTATTTATTATTACATGAAATAGAAAACAGTCCTATGAGAACGGGAACGGATGAGATGAGTGCAGTCAGAAAAAAAAATAAGACAATAAGATTTTAAGAAATTCGAAATAAGTTTAAAATTACAATAATAGAAAATGGATTAATGCTATTTAAAACTAGAAAACGGCCTAAACTACCTATTTATTGTTTTAATTAATTAGAGTAAAATAAAAACAATTTCAAATGAATACGGTGGTTTTGAATTTTGTACGTGGTAGAGCCATGCTGCAGCTATATTAGTAGTATAGTTGTAGCACGAATGGATCGGCTCGACCGGGGAAGGACCACGCTCTCACAGAATACCAGCGTAAAATAGCAGCTTAACACTGCTGTGTTGTGATTGTATTGTGATATTGTAACCGGAGACCCTTTTTACTGGAAAAGAGGCATTCCATCTTAGTCCTCACGGGTGACAACGCATCTGCATTTTTTCCCAAACAAGGATAGATGTAGATGTCTATGGACCACAGTAACCATTTACCATCAGGTGGACTGCGTGCTCGTTTGTCACCATATCCTAAAAAAAAATATCCTGAGTTTTACGTAAGTCGTCGATATCGTTGACTTAGGCTTTGCTAAGCGCGCACTTAGCACGACTTCGAAGTTAGCTCTATAAATACCGACATTGTCTTAGCTGGAAAGTAAAGTCTGAGCAAAGACAAAGTACGGTCTATAGATCTCAGCCTCAGAGTAATCAGTGAAAAGCCTGACTGTCCGATACTGCGTACACCCAGTGTGGGTGTAGGCACTAGGCAGTAACACACATGTTGCAGGGGAGTCGCGCAGTGCAGGCAGATATTTAAATTAGAATAAATATTTTCCAAAAAAAAAAATGTTACTAACCTAGTTCTTAAGATCTCTTTTTTTCTGCTACTAACAATATTATGGACAAAAGTCTGAAATAAATCATGTTTTTTATTTATTTTATTATTCTCGTTATTTAATTTAAATCTACATTATACAATAATTCAAGTTATAACAAAATTTATAAAATGTCAATTTTTTGGTTTGCTAGACATTTTTAAAAAGTATATTGTCTACTTAAATATATAATCTAACTATCAAAGTTACGTACCCCAGCTATTTCTAATACCCTTGCATTGGTTTTGTTTACATTTGGTACCTATCCCTTCTCGTCTCGTTGGCCTAGGTATATATATATTTATATAATAAATATAAATATGTAGAGATGCTCGATGTTGCAGAAACATTGATGATGACATCGATTTTGGCATCGACAGCTCAACATCGATGTTCGATTTTTAGCCTACATAAAACATCGATGTTATCGATGTTTTTTGTATATGTGTAGATCTAGGAGTAATAGAGTTCTGTGGTGTAGATTAATAGTGTTCTGTGGTGTAGATACTTACATATTGTTTCAAAATTATGTGGGTATACACAGCAAGGGAAAAGTAACAATTAACTTGAATATCAATTTACGTAGAATAGTTATTATGCGACAACCTACAACAATACTACAAAATAAAGCGAAAACAGTGGCCACTGTGACATAAGAGGTGACACTTAACAATTAAGTTTGACACACCATAATGATATTTTTTAGGTTAATGATACGTTCAGAAATTCTGAATTATTTAAAATTTTAAATCTTCAGAAGAGATGCAAGATTTAGTTAATATTTATTTCGCAGGTTCGCATTGTTCGCAAGATCCCAATAATCGATTATGGGTTCATTGACATCGATGTTTGTTTGACATGTGTCAACATCGTTATTAAAACATCGATGTTTTAATTTTTAACTATCGATGATCATTGAACATCCCTATATGTAGCAAGCTTTAATAACAAATATAACATATTATTATAAAATCAGTTAAAAAAATAAATATTGTTTATATTTTATGACTGAAGAAAACACATGGACAGTTGTTGTACTTAATCAAAGACTAAAAATGGATAAGCTTTTTAAAATACCATCTCTGGAAGATTTTAAAAGAGTAAGTACAATTAGCATTTCACTTGTAACTTATAAACATTTTTACCTATTTAACATGAGTATTAAACTTATTTTGAAACGTCATACACCATATAGTAATATTAACAATCACATACACATTTAATAAAATATTCTGTTTTTATTACAGTTCTTTAGTTTTCACCTTTTGAGTTTTATTTTTTTAGGTAACAGATGAAATTATAAGTAATTTATATAACTTGGAAAATCACCCAAATATTTTGCATGAAAATGATATTAAGCTAGCAAAAGAAGATGTAAGGAACTGCATTTTAGAGACCAATTTTGATATTGACAGATTAACCACTTTATTGGAATCTCAGGAATATAGCGAAAATAAATTTTCTTATTTCCTTTCATCTATTAAGGAAAGAAAAAGTGATCTATTGCTTTCAATGTTTATTCACTTTAATAGTGCTTTTGGTGAAACAGTTCAAGATTTTGACTGGCTCGTAAAACTTGTTCTTGGTACCAGTGAATTGAAAACCATAAGATATCCACTTCTACAGGTATTAATGTTAACTGTCACAGAAACGGGAAACAAAGACAAAAAAGTTTTTGATATCAAAAAAGATATGTTAGACAAAATGATTGATGTTATTGAAGGTACTGTAAATGTGTAACTTTATTATAGTGTATTTAAAAATAAGTGAATAGGAAAATTATTTTTGATTATATTCTAAATTTAGATTGTAGTACATCATGTATGCTATATGACAAAGAACACATCATATACAAAAATAGGTATATAATTTAATTATATCACACACTATTAACAAATTAAACCTCACTATAGTTCTTAGTGGCTCTTTTTATAAATGTTTCAACTCATTCATATCAAACAGCCAATCAAAACGATGGTTCAGTGGTGGAGTGGCTTAGCAATTGAGTTGCAGCACTAAGGGCCGTGGCTTAGAATTCCGCATGGAATAAGAATTTGTATGGCCTACAAATAGTTGTTCCGGGTCTGGATGTTTGTCCTTGTGCAATTTATGTTTGCAAACTGCCCCCATGATACAGGAGAAAATCCTAGTGTGACAGCTACTATTTTTAAAAGAAATAAAAATGTCCACTGCTAAACATAGGCTCCCCCATAGCTTGCCTCATATGATAGATGCAATACTTGGCAACTGAATTTTTTAATTATTTTTAGTCCTAATCAGATAGATGCTTCTACCCACCTCCTGTTTCATTGCCCTCTGTTGATACGGCACGGCATCCATGGGATAAGACTGATTAGGGGACTTTAAAAGTAATAAATTGAAGTGGTGTCTAGAAAAAGGTGCCAAAATCAAAAATTATAATTTTACAGGAGAGCAATAAACTTCATATCTTCTATACTATATACAAACCTACTTTTTTAAAGTAACACAACAGATGCATCCGATCCACTTAGATTTTGAGCTGAATCTAAGTTGTCATAGAATGCTTGTGCTTTCTCTACTGAAAGCTTAACTTGAATGTCATAAACATTCAAGTTGAGCATTCAGTTAGGCAGTTCTTGTTGCACTATTTTCTTTTCAAGGATAGCTTCAAGATCTGCACACTTACTGCAAATATCTGTGCGAGACTTGCCAAATGAATAGTTGTCTTGATAACTTTTTCTGGAAAATTGATACGAACAAGGGCTATTTCTTCATGTCGATATTACCTATTATCTATTTTAGTCTGATATTCTGCTGGATAGTATTTTTGAAGAAATAAAGTAAACATCTTCATGACAAAGCTGAAGACCATCTGTGAGAGCATTGTTTCCAGGAAACCTGAGAATTTGAGTGAGATTTGTAAGGTTCTATGGGCAGCTGTACACATCATAGTTGGAGCCACACGCAAAAGTGAGTAACGATCCAAGAGGAAGTCTTATCCGACACTGATATCCAGGACGTCAGTCTGAGCGAGAGAATGGCTATCCAGCACCTTAAAAATGGCAAGGCCCCAGGCGAGGATGGAATTACATTGGAGCTTCTGGATGCAGGTGGAAAATCGGTGCTTGAAGTCCTACAGATGCTCTTTCTGTCCTCCATGGTGTGACAACTCCGGGGCCGTGGAGCAGAAGTGCGCTGGTTTTGTTCTTCAAGAAAGGTGACAACGCTTTCTTGAAAAACTACCTACCGAATTCCCTTCTGAGCCGCGTCTACGTGCTGTTTTCGTTAGTGTCCGACCGAAACAGGATTTTCAACCGAACCGAAAACGACCTTCGGTCTGGGTGTCAGTTTCGGCCGAAACCGAAACCGAACCTTATTTACACATGTTCGTTTTTTTGATTGTATACTGGAATCTGGTATATTTTTTATACATATACAGATAGGTAATGCATGTTAATCAAAAACAGTAACTGTAATAGTCATGCAGCAATATATTTATTTATTTTCAAGCAAAAATCAACAATTTAACGTTAAGCAATACTTTTTTAAGTCAATTTGCTAATTGAGAACATATTTTATTGTGTTCACAATATTGTTAATATTATTCAATGAGAGCATTAACTCACACACACACACACAATATACATACACACACCTTAACAAAATTCCAGAAAATATACAAAACCTGCTCAAAGTTCAAAAACTTTAATAAACTAAGTTTGTATAAAAAGGGTTATTATAATATTAAGGAATTTATGGATTATAATAACCCCACTGTGGTGATCACAACCAAGCTATTTCTAATTTCTTTTTTGTTGTTAATTGTGTTACATACATGATTGTAAGCGTGGCGTAGCTACGTGTGGGCGAAGTGGGCCCTCGCCCACGGCCTCGCGAGACCCCCTAAAATGCGATGCCCCCAGACTTTACCACAGATGACTAATTAATTTGATCACTTTTACCCTTGAAAAAGTGAAAGTGTGTTTGTTTGGGGCCTCGCAAGAAGCCCCCCTTAAATGCGACTGCGAGGCCTTTGAAACTATCTTCAAAGACCGTGATTGTTACATTGACGGAATACGAGACTTGTCAGAAATTAATAGATATGAGTAGGTACGAGGGTAACACTAAAAGTTCTTAAAAATGAAAAACTGTACAAACTAGCTAGCATGTTATTACTAGTATTATATCTTTTCAAAATAGTGTTCATATACATCTTTTTAAGAAGTTTTATTTTATTTTCGGAAATAAATAAAAATCGCAAAGTGCGAGGTCGGTGCTATAGGGCAGGTAACCCAGTGATTCCACGTCTGACGTCGCCAAACAGTCGATTGTTTGCTTGGCAGTGTGCGACGAGGCGTTGTCGTAGTGAAGGAGGATCCTACTGCGAGGTCGTTTCTTCCGAACTTTTTCCAAGACAAATAGCAAACAATTGTTAGTGTAGCACTCTGCAGTAACTGTTTTTCAATCCGCTAAAACAATTGTTGGATAATGACCTGTCCTTCCGAAGAACGACGCCACCATCTTTTTTCCCCACGCTTCGACTTCTCTTCACTTTAGTTGGCAACTTCTCGGAAGGAAACACCCAGACCGCAGACTGTCTCTTAGTTTCAGGATCATAACAATAAATCCAGCTTTCGTCACCTGTAAGTATGTCGAACACAGCATTAGAGTCACCTCCATTAAATGTTTGAACCATTTCACGACACCAATCAACAGGACGGAGTTTTTGGGCCTCTGTCAAGTTATGAGGTATCCACCTGGCACAAAGCTTCCTGACTGCTAAATATTCATGGAGGATTTTGTGCACTTGACTCATACCGATGCCTTATCTTGTCCAAATCTACTGATAAGTCACTTTTTTGTCAGTCTCTATCACACGCCGCACAACACTGATGTTATCTTCAGTCGTCGCCGTAGAAGGTCGTCCCCATTGAGCTATACAAGACTAAATCATTGGCCCGTCCCTCACGCAGATCATCGGTGACATTACTGCGACCACGTTTAAACTCATTAAACCAGTTATAAATAGTGACACGAGATGTGGCTGCATCGTGAAAGGCCAATCGAAGTCTATCATATCTTTTTTGTTGACTTAAATAACATCTAAATTCATAAAAAATCAGTGTACGAAAATTTTCTCGCGTTAAATTCATGCTGATGTGACACAGACAATTTTCAATTTGCCGCCAAATCGTAAACAAATGACAAATTAATTAAATACATACACAATAATATTGGCAGAGTTCTATTTTCAAAATTTGAACTTATTTTTTTTATTATATCGTTTACAAGTGGCCAGTTCTAAAAACTTTCAGTGTCGCCCTCGTATGTCGTGTCAATGTATGTTAGGTAGGATAGATCTATTCGGTAGACCCATGAAACGAAAGAAAAGGAGCCTTGCTGATGCAACTTAGCGCACGTTTATTTTAGTCCAGGCTACGCCTCTGATTGTAAGCTGTTATTTAAAAAAAAGTCCCGCTGGGTTTCTTGCTGGTTCTTCCAAGGCAAAAGGGTTTTTTCGAACCAGTGGTAATTAAACAAAAGAGTGACTTTCAATAAGTATTATTTACAATCTATATTGAATAAAAAATATTCTGTTTCTGTTTCTGTATAATTATGAATAATATACGAATCACGAACTCATCCGAACGACGCACGATAATCCACGAACAATGAGTTTCGGTGCCGTCGAAGGTTCGGCAGATTTTTTGCCGAAACCGAAACTATTACCGAAACTAGATTTTTTGCCGAAACCGGATCTTCGGTCGGTCACTAGTTTTCGAGAGTCATTACGAATCGTCTCGCACGCAGACTACGTCTTCCAGCCTCCCGAACAAGCCGGCTTTCGAAAAGGCTTTAGTACCATAGACCACACACTTACCCTTCGGCAAATTGTACAGAAGACCGAAGAGCCACTTAACCTTGCATATGTCGACTATGAGAAAACCTTTGATTCCATTGATATTAGTGCGATGCTACAGTCCCTTCATAGGTGCCAAGTTGACTGTCGGTATATTGAAATGCTGAAGTGTTTGTACAGTAGGGCTACAATGGCTATCCGAGCAGAACTAGAAATAGACATTCAGGACTAGAAATGACGATATCCGCACTAGAACCAGACATAGCCCAACAGATTAGTAAACTGAAGTGGCAATGGGCCGGTCATATAGTTCGAAGAACCCACAACCGATGGGGAAAAAAGGTTCTCCCACTAGATGGAGTGACGACCTGGCTAGAAATGCAGGAAGTCGATAAATGCAGGTGGCTCAGGACCGTGCTTTGTGGCATTCCTTGGGGGAGGCCTATGTTCAGCAGTGGACTTGTGAAGGGCTGTAATGATGATTATTTCTTCCAATGGATAGGTCTTAAATGAAACATGGCCAAGACAAGTCATGTGTCACCTATGCCGGTAGTTGTTTGGGAACACTTAGCCCGAAGTTGTTGACGAGTATCCTTATTTAGAGCAAATTGCCCAACTAGGTAAGTCCAACCACAAACAAAAGGTCGCTAGGCAGGCGTTGTTAAATCTCAAAAACTTGAAAGCAAGAGAACCAGTGCGTGTGGCCAGTGCATAACATGATCCTTTATAGCTGGCCGTATGAGAAAGCTCACGATCGCTTAAGCAAGCTATTGAAAAAGCTATGTTGGGAGATTCTTGGCTTCATAGACTTCGAAATGATATCCGCAGTAAATCCAGATCCAGAGTAATCAAAATAGCCCAATGGATCAGTAAGATAATGGGGAATGAAGGTGATGGGAGAAGAAAAGTTCTCAAGTGGCAACATCGTGGCGTAAGCGAAATGTAGGGCGATCCTTCACTAGGTGAGTGACGACTTTGTAAGGAATGCAGGAAGGTGATGGATGCAGGTAGCTCAGGGTCATGCCTTATGGCACTCCTTGGTGGGGGAGGCCTAAGATCAACAAACTTGAGTCCTTGTTGCTGTTATCACAATTCACAACCAAAAATAGGTAGTTTCTTTGTTCTCTAGATACGAAAGACTCAGAGGCGCCATCTACGTATTTGTGGCTTAGTTTTTCAATTTCCTAAAGTAGCCCTCGTCTATTTCCGTTACCTTATCTTTGTGCACAAATTAAGATCGATCCGTTCTTCATTGCGATATGAAAGAAGGACAATGAAATAAGTAAATAATACACTTTCGTATTTATAATATCAAATCGGAGGAAGATTAGGATTGATAATGTACCATTTGCCGAATGCCAAACAAACTTATATACAGATATATGCTCTGCTCGTCTAACACAAGTGTTTTGTTCTTGTTCTTACTGAAACACACCATGGCCAATTTACGCATTATAGTAAATTTATGTTGACACCGTGTATAAAAATTGCAGAAGTGCAGGAATACATGCAGCTGTATTTAAAATATAATAAAATTAACATTAGAGTACATAACTTTATTCCTGTATTGTGATTTCAAATCATAACAAAATAAGAATTAACAGTAGTCACTTCGTAAAAATATTTATTAATATGTACAAGGACGCATTGTTATATGAGTATAAAAATTGTTGCAGAATCGTCTAGTTGTATCAATAATCTAATAATAAATGCACTTTTGTAACGATAGTTCTTGAACTGTAGAAGTAACAAAATGTAACACCTATTTTAGACTCAACCTACAACGGAAAAGTTATCATGCACACAATATGCAACCAAATATTTGAATAAACTGTACCATTAATCGGAAGCTTGTTAAAAACCTCAGATCGTAAGTAATTATGTACAAATTAATTAAGCAAATGAGACAAATAGTATAACAATAAATACCTATACAGATAATTGTACACTGAATTAACACGGGCAAGATTTCAAAAGATGTTTTAATGTACAAGTTACATCTCATGTACATATCAACTTGATCAGAGCGATTGTGTAATTTTGTGGGAATCTTAGTTGGCTTGAGATGTTTGACAGTGTATTGTGTTAATGTATTGGCATTGATTATAAGCCAATAATTACAGTTTTTACGTTACAGTAGGTGAGTGATTCCCATCAGTTATACAATCGCACTGCATTTCTTGTGTTATTTGTTAAGTAATAAATGCTTTCAAACATTATCGACGTGATGTTATGCTTGTGCATGAAATAAGATTTAAAAAAATCATATAAAAATTACTGTAAAATTGAGTAATTATTGATAAAATGTACAAGAAAATAATGATACAAATTGTTATTAATTTGCATTACAGGCATTATTGGAATCATTTTTATCAATATGTGATGTATTGTTCTTTCTAGACCTAAAGGATTATATAGTGCTTTTTCATTAAAAAAAATATATATGTTTGTGAATAATATGCCAGTAACAATTAATTAAATTACATATTACATGTAAATAATAAAATAATTATTAAAATAAAATAAAATTAATTGTCACCTACACCAATTTAAATGTTTCAAAAATTGTGTAAAAGCAAAGGAGGACAAAAATTTTCTGTCATCAATTAGTGAACTGTCTTTGTGACACCTAAATTAATATTACAGATTATTTTAAGTTTACATACATTCAACAAAATGCAATGATATATCTACAATTAAGACCAAAAAAGAAAATAACATACACTTATTTAAGTACACATAATATGTATGTAAAATCATTTGCAACCAACAACATGGTTTTAGGTGCATATGCGTGTATCAGCGCTCCTTTAATCTTTCTTTGTTGGTCCTAGCTCTACAATAATAATTAATGGCATTAAAACTAAATAGAATTTGTTCATTGCTGTCTTTCTGTGTGCATTCGCTACACTTTAAAATTAAAATAATATGAACAGTAAGTATCATTTATACAAGTACAATAAATATATTGTGTTACAATATAAAGGGTTTATTAGGATCACACCGCTTCGTTTAAATACAGCCTTTTAATTTAACGTTCATTTTTGGGATAATAAGCACAGGTTATGGCTGGTATTCAGTTTCATCAGAATTACGTGTTAAAATATTCATTGTAATATATGATATCTGTATAGCAATAGTTTGCATACACAAGTAACAAGTTGCCAAATTTAAAACAGATAAAGTATGAATGAATGTGGTTTAAGAGTGATAGGATACCGGGTTTCTTTATGTTACTAGTAAATTACATTAAAAGTAGTAATATAAGTACAGATATTAATTGTAAAAGTAAATGTCATTTTTTGAGCTATGTTAAGTTTTAATTAGTGTAAAATTCTAAGTCTGTGGTTTTGGTCTATATTGTCACTATCGAGGATAATATCGCAGTTTTTTCAGTTGTGATGCATTGAATTTTTATACAACCATTTTGTAGTTTTTATACAGAATTAACGTAATTGTTATTACAATATTTTAATATTAAACAACAACACATATCTTTGTAAAACATGACATTATATTTCAAACCATACAATCACAAGGCAGATTTAAAGCTACATGCTGCAAGTAAGTATATATAAGTACATAATAATAATTGTTTATCACATGTTTTTCAAATTCGAGAATTATGATCAAATCTATTACTTCAAATGTTACACAGGTTTTTTAAGTGTAAATCATACATCTAAATATTAAAAATTAAGTAATAAAGGGCGGCCTTTGTGGTAACTACGTTAAAGGCAGTTTTCAATAATGCCAAAACAGAATTGTACCTAAGTACTGTACACATTATACAAAAATAATACTTTTAGTGTTAACTGGTGACATAGGTGGTGTTTTCTATGTTTAACAATTGTACATTGTATTATATAAAACTTGAACACGTTAAATTTCAATACACTGGTAAAATTAAAATTCGAGGAAGGCCATACAACAGGTAGTACCTTAATTGACGAGTCCAGCATCTTTAGCCATGCTATAGAAGATGGAATTCTTATCCTGGAGCAATTGCTCCGGGGGCGCATACTCCACTAGCTGTCCTTTGTCGAGAACCATAACGCGTGTAGAATCCATGATCGTGTTGAGGCGATGAGCGATGGTAAGGACAGTGCATGACGCAAATTCTGAACGAATTGTTTTCTGCAATACGAAAATATACACGTTTCAGAAATAATATCATTTTGTTTAGTAAAAAGTTGTTGCTAAGTTTAAAAGCCAGGGGAACCATTATCAAAATGGTTTAAACTAAGATAATGAACAAGCTTTTTTTATGTGTTAGTTATACAATTATTATGCATGCCCGTGTGTCAGCCGACCCCGCGTGCCCATTTCTCAATTAAACACGCTTTGTCTTTAATCTATGTTGTTCGAAGATAAAACGCTGGTTTAATCTTTGAACAACATAGATTAAAGACAAGGCCGTAATGTTACGTTTTCGAATTGAACATTTTTGATTGTTTTAACTTGTTTTTATTTTGCCGCGTAAAAGGAGGTAGATATTAAAAAGTTTATATTACATACACCATTACAGGCACTTCAAAAGTCAATCGCTGAACATAGGCCTTCGCCATAAATTGCCTCATAGGTGGAATAGTTGTCACGCTTGGCGAGATGGTTGGCAACTGCATATTTTTTATTTCCCCCTGTGACCTCTAATCATACACGGGATGATAAGAGGCAGTAGATATTCTTACACCGCCTCTACATGCCGCTTTTGTATCATATACAGATACAATATAATATCATGTACAGATACAAATATTTAAACTTTCAAATGTCCACAGCTGAACATAGGCTTCCCCATAGATTACCTCATAGGGGAGAGATTTAGAAGTAATATGTTAAAAATCCTTCCATCCCTTTCTTATAATAACAATGCAGACTATTTATATAGAGAATTATTTACCTTTATAAACAATGAATTTAATAAAACATTCACTTCTAAAACATTCTCCAGAAATAGTCGCAAGGCATTTAATGAGTGGGCGACAGTAGGAATTCATAAAAGCAGACGAAGGTTATATGACCTTTACCATGAAAGGTCGTATAATCTTTCCGATGCTTTTAAAGAATATGTAAAAAATTATTCTAAAATGTTTAAAAGAGTTTGCTCCACAGCCAAATCATTACATATTAGTAACAAAATTAAGACTGCTAAGAATAAAATTAAAATGACGTGGAGTATAATTAACAGCGAAACCGGTAAAGAGAAACCTCATAATTCAAACTATCAATTAAAAATTAATAATGAATTGACTAAATCAAATCAAGAAGTTGCAGCGGTGTTTGAGAAATATTTCACTGATGTTCCTATTTTGACAACAGAGTCATTGAATGCTTCTCCAACTGTCGCCGAATCATTACTTAAACAGAATGTTAATACCTGTTTAAAAGAATTTAGATTTGAAAAAGTATTACCGCATAATATTGTAAAATACTTCAAAACCATTGATGTAAAGAAAACCGCAGATTTGTGGGGGATTTCCGTTACAGTGATTGCGTCCATAATAGATTTAATTGCACCTCATCTTGCTATTATTTTTAATACTTGTATCGATTCTGGTGTGTTTCCTGATTTAATGAAGTATAGTAAAGTAATACCTTTATTTAAATCTGGTAGTACATTGGATCCCGCTAATTATAGACCTATTTCTGTACTACCAACTCTCAGTAAAATTTTTGAAAAAATAATTTTGGATCAATTGTTAATTTTTTTTAATACAAATAAATTACTTCATAAAAATCAATTTGGTTTTACAAGGGGTCGCTCGACGTCTGACGCCGGTGTTGAGCTTATGAAATATATTTTTAATGCCTGGGAGAATTCACAAGATGCCTTAGGTATTTTCTGTGACCTTTCCAAGGCTTTCGATTGTGTTCATCATGATACATTAATCAGGAAACTACAACATTACGGTGTAAAAAATTTGGCGCTTAAACTTATTACTTCATATTTAAGTAACAGAACTCAAAATGTCGTCATTAATGGTAAATGTTCCTCCGGATCATTAGTATCAATGGGCGTTCCTCAGGGCTCGATTCTTGGCCCATTCCTGTTCTAAATCTATATTAATGACTTACCTTATCTTGTAGGGGACAATCACGATATAGTATTATTTGCTGACGATACCTCTTTAATTTTCAAACTGAAACGGCAGTCAATTAAATATGACGATGTAAATAATGCTCTATCGAAACTAGTACATTGGTTTAACGCCAACAATTTGCTCTTAAACGGCAATAAGACAAAATGTATTAAATTTACAATACCTAATGTAAAACATTCGAAAACCAATGTGCTCTTAAATGGGGAGGAGTTGAGTCTTGTGGATACCACTGTTTTTCTCGGTATTACTATTGACGCGAAACTTCAATGGGGCCCCCATATATCTAAATTAGCAAGCAGACTTAGTTCTGCAGCATATGCTGTAAGAAAGATTAGAAGTCTCACAGATGTTGAGACAGCTAGGTTAGTGTATTTTAGTTACTTTCATAGCGTAATGTCTTATGGAATTTTGCTATGGGGTAATGCGACTGATATTGAAGCTATATTTGTTTTGCAAAAGAGAGCCGTACCGGCGATTTATAATCTAAATTGTAAAGAGTCCCTTAGAGAAAAATTTAAAGAAATAAACATATTAACTTTGGCATCGCAATATATTTATGAAAATGTAATGTATGTACATAAAAACATAAATAGCTTTAATAAGAATAAGGATGTTCATACATTAAACACTAGGAACAAACATAAGCTTGTAATGCCACTTACAAGACTCCACAGAATTAGTAATTCATTTATGGGGCAATGTATACGCTTTTACAACAGAATCCCAGAACATGTTCAAAGTTTGTCAATAAACAAGTTTAAAAGTTTTATTAAAGAAAAACTGTACAAAAAGGGTTATTATAATATCAAGGAATATATGAATGAAAATAACCCCTGGGAATAAGGTGATCGCCACCATGCTGGTTCTATGAAAATTCATTTAAAATTGTATAAACAAAATTATTGTTAAGTGAAATTATGTTTAAAAAAAAAGTCCCGCTGGGTTTCTTGCTGGTTCTTCCCAGGACAGAGGTATTTTCCGAACCAGTGGTAAATAAAATAATGACTTTCAATAAGTATTATGTAATAATCCATATTGAAAAAAAATAAAAAGAAAAGAAAAATCTCCCAATCTCCCATATTAGCCGTAGTTGCCACGCTTGGCAGGTGGCTTGGCAACCGGAGTTTTTTTTAAATATTTTTATTGTTATTAGGAAGTCGTTGCTGTTCATCCACGTTTTCCTCTGTCGCGTCTTATGACACCCGTGGGACGATATGGGCAGTGGATATTCTTACACCGCCCTGCACGCATAACTTTATATAATTTATGTAACTTCTGTTCAGTCGGGTTATAATTCATTTTATGGATAGCTTTTATCTGACGATTGGGGATAGGCCCTTAGAAATATCATCCATCATGACGTAAAAAAATTTTTGTGTGCCAATATAATTATAATTAATTTCGTATGTCCCTACAGTTTAAAGTTTAGGTTTTGTATGGAAATTGCTTGTAAAAGAGATTGTGTTTTCGTCAAGTTAAGCAAAAAAAAATGATAGTGGATATTGTTATTGGCAATGAGACGAGAGCAAAGTGCGAGTGGGTACCTGTATGAGCTCGTCGGTCTCGAGGTCGACGGCGGCGGTGGCCTCGTCCAGCACCAGCAGCGGCGTCTTGCGCAGCAGCGCGCGCGCCAGGCACACGAGCTGGCGCTGCCCCACCGACAGGTTCTCGCCGCCCTCCGCCACCTCGTGCCGCAGCCCCGCCGCCAGCCCTGCCCCGCACACACAAACAAACTCATCACTCACACTCACAGCTCGTTAGGCCTACCAAATGTCCGCCGTGCTGCATATTTTTTTTTATAAAACTGAATTGACAAATGAACTTCAGTCCACCTGATGGTAAGTGACACCTGCAACCAACTTTAAACAAAGAAGGCTACAAATGCGTTGTCCCTCCTGAGAACTAAGATGGAATGCCTCGCAACCTGTAATTATACTGGCACTCAATACCCTTCAGACCGAAACACAGCAGTACAAGCACTGCTATTTGGCGGCAGAAATAGGTAACACAATGGCACCTACCCAGAAATGGAGTCCTACCATCTAGTATCTCCACCTCATAGGACTCCCACCATCGGTTAGTCTACCAAACGCTCGGTTAGTCTCTACCCTTTCGTTGTCGATCTACCACGCATTCGAACCAAACGGTTTGCCACATCGTTCGTCATGCCCTTTCGTTGTCGATTTACAACGTAATCGAACCCATCGCTTTGCTACATCGTTCGTCATATGTACAGCACGAGTAAATTAGTTGCCAGCGTCTGTCTTTCCATACGATTACAATGTCTTCACGGCAAGAGTAAATAGTAAAGAGTAAAAAGAGTAAATTTTATTAAGTCACTGCGCTTCACTATCTTCGGCTGTATCACCACTTACTGTCAAGTGGGGTGATAGTTTAGAATAGTAAAAAAAATCAAGCGTGTAGTTCACACGCGGTAGAAGTGACACCTTCAAAAAAGGAGACAGACGTAGGGAACACTATACTGTATTTTATCTAATTCCCTTGAAAACTAAATCCTATAGATGTTTATTTTTCTCTCTTTTTAATGTCGCCTTTTCGTTTCATCGAGTTTCAACTCAAAATCACAACAATTCTAAAGAAGCTTTCACTTCAAAGATATTATAAAGTAATAAAGTTACAGCCTATATACATCGTACTGTAGGGCATAAGTCACATCTCATTTCGGAGTTATTATATTTCATTGTTAAATTATTTTTATCTTAACATTTACATGACTTCCGGTATTAATAAATATAAAGGACGCCGCCGCAAGTAAAATTATGAAATGCAAACGTGGTGGAATTGTTGATTAGACGCTAAACTAATCGGTTGTGATCTGGCAATAAACAAAGTACATTATTAGACGTTATTTTATTTCGTCACACCCTTACTTTCATATTAGTGAATAGTGGAAGGGTTTTTAGGCAAAGAAAAGTCCACCATACTACCCCAAAACGTGTTAGCGAACTTCGCATGTGTAAGAAATATTTTTTTCAGACATCTGGTTTCCTCTCGATGTTTATCTTTAACGCCGAGCACATGGTAAATTAGCACTTAAAATAACCAATTTAACCGGCGCTAGGGAATGCCATGGAATTTATAGGAAGCAGTTAGCTCCTGAGCTACTTCGGCACTTGACACACCGTAACCGTTACCGCTACAGCCTATTAAGACGCATGGTTGAGCAAAATGTCGCGCTAGTCGTTATTTGTGCGGTTTTTAGGAGCCATCTACTGGTTATTAAAAATATTATCAACTAATAAAAACATTAAATTTCTACATAATCTTGATTCCATAATAGTCATATGTATTTTTTATAAAAGGAGTAAATAATTGAATAATCTCCTTAGAACGAAACCACACAAATGTGAAATAATTATTGATGACATGCGTCTCCTCGTAAACATTATGATATTTTACGATTGACACTAATGGATAGGCAATTCATTAATGAACATTTCGATCGATTAAATTTTTTCAAAAGACGAAAATTTGATTTTAATAAGAAATTATTTTAAAATCTTGGCTTATTCACTGCCCGCGGGGTAGCGGGAGTCAGTGAGCGGCAAGCTCTTGAGGGTGAAACCTGTGTCGTTAGTCACCGCGTCGGCCAGCGCACATGAACGCCCACGTCATCTTATCAGTCAATAATATTGTTAGCTTAGTTATAGTTATTATTAGTTAGTATTTTTTCTTTGTTTTGGATTTAGTTTTTTGTGTTAGTTATGTATTTGTTGTGTTTTTTACTGCGCGAAGAAGCTTTTTGTGTGTATTGAGAACTACTGAGTTTTGTGAAAAGATGCTACTGTTGGTGATGTTTATTCGGCACACAAAGTGCCAAAATACAAGAAAGTTTTGCGACAAAGACGTGCAAATGCAGAAAAATTGTGCGATATTCGGTAAGCTGTCTCGTAATTATATTCTCAATAATAGTGAAATTATAAGTTAATTATCGTATATTTTTAATTATTGCGTATACAAAGGTATGCAATTTTTTTTTTATAGAATAAGGGTGACAAACGAGCACACAGTCCACCTGATGTTAAGTGGTTGCTGCGGCCCATAGACATCTACATCTATCCTCTATTACAAATCAAAATGCAGATGCGTTGTCACCCGTAAGGACTAAGATGGAATGCCTCATTTCCAGTAAAAAGGGCCTCCGGCCACCTGCACTCAACTCACCAAGCGAAACGCAGAGGTAAACCTCTACTTCACGCTGGTATTCTGTGAGGTCGTGGTACCACCCCGGTTCGAGCCGGCCCATCCGTGCGACAGCAAAAGCCGCCACGTGGCTCTACCACTGTTGAAGTTTTTATAGATAAGTTTTTATAGTTTATTTATAGATTTATTTATTTATTTATAGCCTGGGGTCGAAAAGGACAAAATATAATATGACGGAACAACAACAACATCTGAACATTCTTAACAAAATTATGTTGATAACGGGTAAGTACCCATTATACCTATTAAAATCCTATTATAAACTTACTAAAAACTACTCTAAGATGTCAGTAATTAGTAAAGTGATAACATCTTATCATTTTCATATAATATTTTTTTTATCAATAAATCTTCGTTGTCATGCATGTGAGATACGAAACTACAGATATGGACACTCACACATTCAGTACCTAGGTACGTAGTTAAGTGCTTGTCATGAATTTATTTATGTGCGTAAATACTTGAGATTTAATGTATAAATAAATAATCTTTTTTAGGATAAAAGATAACCAAAGTGATGCACAGCCTCCTCCAATGGAAATTTCTAATATGCAACCGATGGAAATAAGCAATAATGAGTAAGTATTAGATATAATATTTTTCTCAGTTATGTAAGGTTCACAGGGTAAATTACATTTTCTGCTTAGCATGCTAAGTGCTATCACATTAGTAAAGGAACAGAGTCAAAGCTTCATATCATACAACCGCGCTATGCTACTGCGCTGAGATACGCGGAGTAGGCATGTGTCAATCGTGAATGTGTTGATCATTTGACCCGCATAAAAGTATTGATGATTGCAATCACACATTTTGAACGACCCGGATCAAACCGTTACCTACGATTGAATGTTTGCACAATTGGGAATGCAAAAGTATTTCGCGAATAGGCTTTTTTCTTCTTATTATTCAAAATAATTGTGATAATCACCTCGAACAATTTTTACTAGCATTATAAGGCAAAAGCGCTTATGTGTCAGTCTGCATGAGTCATGGAAACAAGTTAGTACTCTAAAACCTATTTTATCTTTCGAGCACATGTATATGAGATACAAAAGCATTTCATTTAGTTAGTGAATATTCATTAGTCGCGTTTACGACACAAAACATAGAGAAAGAGGGACTCTTTATGATGAACTCTTTCTTCCAGAAGCGGCCGCACAGGAAGTGAACCTGGTCGAGCCCCGACGGTTCGACAAAAAATGAGATTGACTTCATTACGACGACCAGACGACAACTGTTCAGTAATGTCTCCGTGATCGCGAGGGTGAAAACTGGTAGCGATCACCGAATGGTTAGAGGCACCCTGAACCTAAACGTTAAGTTGGAGAGGTCTCGTCTAATGAAGTCAACGCTCCGTCCCCCTCTGCACGCTCTGTCAAAGTCCCGAAACCTTTCAGCTCGAGTTACAAAACCGTTTTCAGTGCCTAGAAGACTGCAATGAAGTGGATGATATGAATGACAAGCTCGTGGAAACTGTCCATGCGGTCGGAGCTAAGTTCTGCAAGTCCCGCCACAGAAGAACACAAAAACTCTCCGATCATACTCTTAATCTCATGGCTGTTAGACGGGAGATGAAGCTACATTCTTCAACAGACAGCATACAGGCAACTGAACAGACAGATCTCCAAATGCATGCGGCGGGACTTACGCAACTTCAATACAGCTTGTATTGAAGAAGCAATCGAGCGGAACCAAGGCTCCAAAGTCTTTACCAGAGATCTGTCTGCCAGAAAGAGCCAACTGTCAAAGCTGAAGACCGAGTGTGGCAACATCGTTTCCGGGATGCCTGAGATTTTGAGTGAGATTGAGAGGTTCTATGGACAGCTATACACGTCATCATTGGAGCCCCACGCAAGTTTGAGTAACGATCAAGCCTCCCGAACAAGCCGGTTTCCGAAAAGGCTTTAGTACCATGGACCACATACATACCCTGTGGCCGATTGTACAGAAGACAGAGGAGTATAATCTGCCACTTTGCCTTGCGTATGTGGACTATGAGAAAGCCTTTGATTCCGTCGAAATTTGGGCGGTGCTGCAGTCCCTTCAACGATGCCAAGTTGACTGTCGGTATATCGAAGTGCTGAAGTGTTTGTACAGTAGAACTATGATGGCTATCCGAGTACAGAATCAGAGTATGAAACCTATCTAACTGCAGAGAGGTGTAAGACAGGGTGACGTTATATCCCCGAAACTCTTCACCGCAGCATTGGAAGACGTTTTCAAGCTACTGGACTGGAAAGGGTGCGGTATTAACATAAATGGTGAGTACATCACTCACCTTCGATTTGCCGACGATATAGTCATTATGGCAGAATCGCTGGAGGACCTAAGCACTATGCTCAATGACCTCAATAGTGTCTCCCAACGGATAGGTCTTAAGATGAACATGGACAAAACAAAAATCATGTTTAATGTCCATGTCACACCTATGCCGGCAGTTGTTGGGAGCACTAAGCTCGAAGTTGTTGACGAGTATGTTTACCTGGGACAAATAGTCCGACTAGGTAAGTCCAACTTCGACCGAGAGGTCAATCGACGGATTCATTTCGGGAAACTACGACACATCTTCTCTTTAGACATACCTCAAAACCTGAAAACAAAATTGTACAACCAGTGCGTGTTGCCAGGGATGACTTACGGATATGAGACATGGTCCTTCACTGCTGGCCGTATGAGGAAGCTTAAGGTCGCACGGCGAGCTATGGAGAGGTCTATGCTCGGGGTTTCTCTGCGTGATAAACTTAGAAATGAGGATATCCCCAGTTGAACCAGAGTAACCGACATAGCCCAACGGATTAGTAAGGTGAAGAGGCAGTGGGCCGGCCATATAGCTCGAAGAACCGACAACCGATGGGGAAGAAAGGTTCTCGAGTGGCAGCCTCGTACCGGTAGGCGAAGTGTAGGGCGACCCCCCACTAGAGGGAGTGACGACCTGGTAAGACATGCAGGAAGTCGATGGATGCAGGTGGCTCAGGACCGTGCTTTGTGGCATTCCTTGGGGGAGGCCTATGCTCACCAGTGGACTTGTGAAAGGTTGTAATGATGATGATGATGAAGTTATCAGTAGGAAACGGGAAGATGTTTTAGTCGATTCCATGAATCACGCTGCAGAAAGAGAAAAACAATTCGCAATTTGTAATGCTAGGGTGAACAAAGATGGAATCCCCATAATAGATGTCATTGCTGATGGTTGCTGGTCTGCGTGGTTACAAAAATAATTATAATGCTCTTTCGGGCGCAGCGGCCATAATTGGCAAATATACTGCTAGGCCTATTTGTATGATAATCAGGTTACCTACATAAATGTGAACTGTGCATTATTAACAAATCCAAACATAATACACGTCTTCGTGTTGTTTAATTTGGGCATTGCTATAAGTACTTATTTGTTTTTTTTACGAGGGGCACACTGAAATGATCGGGAATAAGAAAAACCACATGCACGGTATAGCTAAATTGTATTTTATTGTTTTTAGAAGTATTCTACGTTCAACTTAATGCACTTTTCCATTCGTGCAAACCAATCATTAAAACAGTAATTCCAGTCTGAAGTTGATGTTGACAAAATGTCTGATTTGTACGCTTCCACAGCTGCTTCGGGGTCTTCAAACCGTTGACCGCGTAATAAATCTTTCTTTTTAGGGAATGTAAAGAAATCGTTTGGGCTCAGGTCAAGACTGTACGGAGGATCGCTTATCTATCAACGTTTTCCTGCTTCAAAAAAATATTTGTCTTCCGAGCCGTATGGGAGCTCGCATTATCGTGATATAAGATGATGCGACGTTTCGGGTTATTTTTACGGAGTTCGGCTATCATTTCTGGCAAACAAAGCGTGATATACCACTCAGCGGTAACCGTTCTGCGTTCCTGTAAAGGATTTCTAGCAACATGCCCCTTTTTCGAGACAAACGTAGCGACCATTTTCTTTGACACGCTGCGGGAGCGAACCACTTTCGTTGGTTGGACCTCGTCTTCGAAGACCCAAACTGCTGACTGATGTTTTCTTTCAGGTTCGTGTGAATAAATCCATAATTCGTCACCTGAGACGATATTATAAACGGCATTTGACTTCCCTCCGTTGAAGCGTTGCAGGGTATTCCGGCACCAATCTACACGAGCCGCCTTTTGCTCTTCAGACAAATTGTGGGGAACCCAGCGGGAAATTAGCTTTCTTACACACAGTTCATTATGTAATATCGACTGAATTGCAATAATTCCGATACTGATAACAGCCCGAATCTGCTCGTATGTCACATGACGGTCATCTAATATAATACTTCGCACAGCTGCGATGTTTTCAGGCGAGACTGTTTTTTTCGACCTGCAGAAGAAACAGTGCTGAGCGACCCACGGCCGCGTCGGAGCTCGGCATACCAGCGGTATATTGTCGTTTGACTCGGTGCTTCAACATCATAAATCGAAACAAGTTCGCTGAGACATTTCTTCATCTTGAGATAAGCCGTGACGAAAATTGTGATAAATTATGGCACGGAAATGTTCACGCTCCATTTCTGTTAACGACGTGTAAACTTTAAACCAACATAGTTTTTGTTTTTAATTGTTTGAATGTCATTGAGTTTCTAAGAGGCCAGTATTCAAATTCTAAAAAAGGTTTTATTGTAACTCAATCCGAAATATTCTATTCCCGAACATTTCAGGGTGCCCTTCGTAGCCAAATTAAACACAAAAATATAATTTGAGTATAATTTAGTAAAGTATTCACGTTTCTTGAAAACTAATGATAAGAGATTTTTATTCAATTAATTTAAAGTTACCATATATTGAACTTATATTGTATAAAAAGTTAAAATTATTTTATATCATTTTAATAATAACATAATTTTTTGAATATAATATAGAATATTTTACGGAAATCTGCATTTCTCGCTAAAAAGTCTCATATCGTGCGATATGATAATGAGAAATAGAAAAAATTAATATGTCAACTTGAAAAAAATTAAAAAAAAAAACCAAAACAAAAAGAGCTGATGATCTTCAAAAGGCTCAACTAAATTTAAACACCTATTAAATGAAAAAAAAAAAAACTAAATCAAAATCGGTGTTTCCGTTCAGGAGCTATGATGTCACAGACAGACACAGATACACATTACAAACATATGACACTCCTCTGTTTTGTCGGGGGTTAAAAATGACTAAATATAATAAATATAAAATAAATCTATAAAATTACCTTCGACGAAAGTCTTAAGATGTGCATGCTCTAAAGAGCGCCAGATCTCGTCGTCGGAGTAGACGCCGAAGGGGTCCAGGTTCATACGCAGCGTGCCCGAGAACAGCACGGGGTCCTGCGGGATGATGGTGATGCGCGAGCGCAGCTGGTGCAATCCGATCGTGGAAATGTCGATGCCGTCGATCAGGATTTTGCCGCTCATCGCCTCTACTATCCTGCGAACGGAGCTTCCCTTATAGTGAAATCTATGTAGAAGAGTTTTTAAAAGAAAGGTATGAAGATGACAATGCTGTCTAGGTAATGGTAAACATCTGACGGTGATGCCGTCAGATGTTTACCATTACCTAGTCAGGTCATAAGTATTGTCACACAGTAAAAACTTTTCTTTTAGAATGCTGGCCACAAAAAAGTTTATTGAATTCGAATTTCGAATTGTTCATGAAAATAAAACTGTATATTTTTTAGAATTTTACTCATTTTTAAATATGGAGTGGACGCTTAAAGAAGACCGTGTTGCAGTTATTGCGTTGCATCGTTGCGGTTACGCGCCAATTCAAATTTTTGACACACTGAAAAATTTGAATATAACTAAAAGATTCGTTTATTGTACCATCAAACAATACAATGAAGACTCTAGTGTAGATGACAGGTCAAGAAGTGGTCGCCCTCGGTCTGTTAGGACTACAGCAGTGATAAAAGCTGTGAAGGCGCGAATTCAAAGAAATCCCAAACGTAAGCAGAAACTGTTGGCCCTTCAGATGGGGTTAAGCAGAACCACGGTGAAAAGGGTGTTAAATGAAGACTTAGGGCTTCGGGTATATCGAAGAAAAACAGGACATCGTTTGAATGCTCGTCTAATGGACCTGAGACTGAAGAGATGCCGCGCTTTGTAGAAGCGGTACGCGGGAAAAAATATCGGGAAATTCTTTTTTCGGATGAAAAAATTTTTACCGTAGAAGAGAGCTACAACAAACAAAATGATAAAGTGTACGCACACAGTAGTGAAGAAGCGAGCAAACGTATTCCGCGTGTCCAACGAGGTCATTTTCCATCCTCGCTCATGGTATGGTTGGGAGTTTCTTATCGGGGCTTAACAGAGGTACATTTTTGTGAGAAAGGTGTAAAAACGAATGCAGTTGTGTATCAAAATACAGTCCTGACGAACCTTGTGGAACCTGTTTCTCGTACCATGTTCAATAACAGGCACTGGGTATTCCAACAAGATTCGGCGCCAGCTCATAGAGCGAAGAGCACACAAGACTGGCTGGCGGCGCGTGAAATCGACTTCATCCGGCACGAAGACTGGCCCTCCTCCAATCCAGATTTGAATCCGTTAGATTACAAGATATGGCAACACTTAGAGGAAAAGGCGTGCTCAAAGCCTCATCCCAATTTGGAGTCACTCAAGACATCCTTGATTAAGGCAGCCGCAGATATTGACATGGACCTCGTTCGTGCTGCGATAGACGACTGGCCGCGCAGATTGAAGGCCTGTATTCAAAATCATGGAGGTCATTTTGAATAAACTTTAGTGTCATAAGAATCTATGTTTTGTTAAGTTCATTTTGGTATATAAATGGTTACATAATGAATAAACTTGTTTCAATTATTTTATATTAAACATGTGACAGAATTTATGACCTGACTAGGTATAACGCCCGTCGTGTTATGAGAAAAAACGCAATTGTAAATCAAATTCTATGCATTGGTTCTCAGAACACGATGGCTTGCTAGTGTCTGGACTCCTCTCATTTTTGTAAGCGTTTTTGGAGCAGGAAATTGTCCGTCGCGCTGCACCAATGCGCGATAGCAGCTTTCATATGCCCTTAAAATATTTTAACTTTTCAAACATGCACATTTTTACTATCTTATCGGTATCTTCCTTCACTGCCGGATAATTGTTTACTTAACACTTTAAAACTATACTGCGATATATCCCCTAAAGTGAAAATGGCTCACTCAATGGTTACTTAGACACAAGGTCGTCGTCAGCCTGTCTGTAGGGCGCTGGGAATTGCTTTATGTTCCTGGTGCGCCTTGCCTGGAGAATGGGGAGGAGAGGTCCTACCCGAGGTGAGGCTGCCATGGAATGGCCGGCGCTGGTGGGGCTACGGATGTGTGCGAAAGCGTTCCCGTGGCCCTGCCAATATGCGGCGATGGTGGAACACCATGGGGTTTTAGTGGATGCGAGTCCGATATAACACGTCCTTGCCCCCGCAAGGCAGGTATGCGTAAGCATTTCCGCATGTTAAAAAAAGGGCGCTGGGAATGGCAGCACACTCACCTGAACAGGCCGAGCGTGAGCGTGGACTTGCCGGCGCCGGTGCGGCCCACGATGGCGAGCTGGTCGCGCACGTGACGTCAGCACACTCACCTGAACAGGCCGAGCGTGAGCGTGGACTTGCCGGCGCCGGTGCGGCCCACGATGGCGAGCTGGTCGCGCACGTGACGTCAGCACACTCACCTGAACAGGCCGAGCGTGAGCGTGGACTTGCCGGCGCCGGTGCGGCCCACGATGGCGAGCTGGTCGCGCACGTGACGTCAGCACACTCACCTGAACAGGCCGAGCGTGAGCGTGGACTTGCCGGCGCCGGTGCGGCCCACGATGGCGAGCTGGTCGCGCACGTGACGTCAGCACACTCACCTGAACAGGCCGAGCGTGAGCGTGGACTTGCCGGCGCCGGTGCGGCCCACGATGGCGAGCTGGTCGCGCACGTGACGTCAGCACACTCACCTGAACAGGCCGAGCGTGAGCGTGGACTTGCCGGCGCCGGTGCGGCCCACGATGGCGAGCTGGTCGCGCACGTGACGTCAGCACACTCACCTGAACAGGCCGAGCGTGAGCGTGGACTTGCCGGCGCCGGTGCGGCCCACGATGGCGAGCTGGTCGCGCACGTGACGTCAGCACACTCACCTGAACAGGCCGAGCGTGAGCGTGGACTTGCCGGCGCCGGTGCGGCCCACGATGGCGAGCTGGTCGCGCACGTGACGTCAGCACACTCACCTGAACAGGCCGAGCGTGAGCGTGGACTTGCCGGCGCCGGTGCGGCCCACGATGGCGAGCTGGTCGCGCACGTGACGTCAGCACACTCACCTGAACAGGCCGAGCGTGAGCGTGGACTTGCCGGCGCCGGTGCGGCCCACGATGGCGAGCTGGTCGCGCACGTGACGTCAGCACACTCACCTGAACAGGCCGAGCGTGAGCGTGGACTTGCCGGCGCCGGTGCGGCCCACGATGGCGAGCTGGTCGCGCACGTGACGTCAGCACACTCACCTGAACAGGCCGAGCGTGAGCGTGGACTTGCCGGCGCCGGTGCGGCCCACGATGGCGAGCTGGTCGCGCACGTGACGTCAGCACACTCACCTGAACAGGCCGAGCGTGAGCGTGGACTTGCCGGCGCCGGTGCGGCCCACGATGGCGAGCTGGTCGCGCACGTGACGTCAGCACACTCACCTGAACAGGCCGAGCGTGAGCGTGGACTTGCCGGCGCCGGTGCGGCCCACGATGGCGAGCTGGTCGCGCACGTGACGTCAGCACACTCACCTGAACAGGCCGAGCGTGAGCGTGGACTTGCCGGCGCCGGTGCGGCCCACGATGGCGAGCTGGTCGCGCACGTGACGTCAGCACACTCACCTGAACAGGCCGAGCGTGAGCGTGGACTTGCCGGCGCCGGTGCGGCCCACGATGGCGAGCTGGTCGCGCACGTGACGTCAGCACACTCACCTGAACAGGCCGAGCGTGAGCGTGGACTTGCCGGCGCCGGTGCGGCCCACGATGGCGAGCTGGTCGCGCACGTGACGTCAGCACACTCACCTGAACAGGCCGAGCGTGAGCGTGGACTTGCCGGCGCCGGTGCGGCCCACGATGGCGAGCTGGTCGCGCACGTGACGTCAGCACACTCACCTGAACAGGCCGAGCGTGAGCGTGGACTTGCCGGCGCCGGTGCGGCCCACGATGGCGAGCTGGTCGCGCACGTGACGTCAGCACACTCACCTGAACAGGCCGAGCGTGAGCGTGGACTTGCCGGCGCCGGTGCGGCCCACGATGGCGAGCTGGTCGCGCACGTGACGTCAGCACACTCACCTGAACAGGCCGAGCGTGAGCGTGGACTTGCCGGCGCCGGTGCGGCCCACGATGGCGAGCTGGTCGCGCACGTGACGTCAGCACACTCACCTGAACAGGCCGAGCGTGAGCGTGGACTTGCCGGCGCCGGTGCGGCCCACGATGGCGAGCTGGTCGCGCACGTGACGTCAGCACACTCACCTGAACAGGCCGAGCGTGAGCGTGGACTTGCCGGCGCCGGTGCGGCCCACGATGGCGAGCTGGTCGCGCACGTGACGTCAGCACACTCACCTGAACAGGCCGAGCGTGAGCGTGGACTTGCCGGCGCCGGTGCGGCCCACGATGGCGAGCTGGTCGCGCACGTGACGTCAGCACACTCACCTGAACAGGCCGAGCGTGAGCGTGGACTTGCCGGCGCCGGTGCGGCCCACGATGGCGAGCTTGTCGCGCGGCGCCACGGCGCACGTGACGTCGCGCAGGGCCGGCTCGCCCGCGCGGTAGCCCAGCGTCAGCCGCTCCAGCTGCAGCGCGCCCGTCTCCGGCCACGTGGCGCCCGGACCGTTCGGCAGCGTCCACGCCGCCTCCTGCCACACGCACGGTACGCGATATCTTAATAAACTAACCGAACACTTCTATGAGTACTACCAAACAGGCTCTGCCTCCTTAATACATTGATCACTAAGTTACGGTCAGTTCGCCGTAACTCCTTTAAGTAACTGCGAGCGGGCGAGAAGACTAGTTCGTTGTTTTGTAAACCACAGAACTTTGTTTTCGACAATGTAACACTAATTTTGTTTAAAGGGGCTATGAAAACGCTCTACCCGCCCGCGCGATCTACAGCTGCGACAAAGTTTTTGTTTTGAATTGCCAATCTAGTGGTATACATAGAAGTCTTTGAAACTAGTAGTAGTAGTTTATACGTGGTAGAGCCACGCTGCAGCTCTATTATGGTTGTAGCACGAATGGGTCGGCTCGACCGGGTAAGGAGCACGCTCACACCAGCGTAAAATAGCAGCTCATTGCTGTTGTGTTTCGTGTGGTGAGTGTAGGAACCGGACACACGTTTTACTGGAAAAGAGGCATTCCATCTTAGTCCTCAGGGGTGACAACGCATCTGCATTTTTATTCGTAATCGAAGATAGATGTAGATATTGTTACGAGTTTGGGGTTCGAGACAATTAAAAACTGCCGATTGAATTACGAAAATTGATACTTTAATTAGAGAACACTAATTACAACTTTAAACCACACTAATAATAAAACACAGTTGTACTACTGATCACTTTAGTTCGCAGTTGTATCACTTCGAAGTATTCGCTTGTATCGCTAATTCAATACTGCCTTGGTCGTGGTCTCGGTCGCGGTATATACCGGCTTTATATAGGGCCTCAGATAGTTTCCAGAAACTTCTACTGTAGAAACATCTAGAATGTTCGAGTACATACCGGTCCCGAATGACTAGGTGTCGATAGTTCTAGAAAGTTCTTCCATGGAAATTTCTAGAAGGATCTTGACTCTCCTAGTTCTGCTACTCGATACGATACTAGAGGGCGCTAGTAGTAAATTGTGTTGCCATGTACCATGCATTAATTATGACGTGCAACAATATCTATGAGCCACAGTATCCACTTACCATCAGGTAGACTGTATGCTCGTTTGTCACCCTTATTCTATAAAAAAAAACTAACCATATTTTAATAAAACCTGTACTAGCAATAAAAATATTTTCTATGTATGACTAGATAATATGCTTCCAATACTTTTTTTTATTAACCGTTCACGATATTGAAATATGTAGCTAATGTAATTTAAATATTTTTTTTCTGATCTTGTAATATGTTTATTATGTCCTGGGTGCGACTGCGTTAAAATTTGAATTTTTGTGGAAACTTTACTAGCTTGATTTTTAATTGTAAGTTTGATTTTTCATTTATATTTTCGTTTGTAACTGTATATTTAAAAATTAGGATTTAATAAAATGACTAGTATTAAGTAAGTGCTTTCGAGAACTAATGACGTCCTCTCAGAAAAATCGGACGTCATGCAGCGATGGAGCGAATTTTATAGAGAAATGTATGCGTGTGATGATCTTAGTGAGGGATCCGGGGATGACGCCGTGACTGGTACGCCAGACCCAGACCTCGATGACACTGAGGTCATCAGTATGAAAGAGATTGAACGTGCGATTCGAAGTTTGAAATGTGGTAAAGCTGCGGGACTAGACAGAGTTACTGCTGAAATGTTCAAGTATGGTGGGCCTCGAGTCTGGGACAGCTTTCATCTGCTGTGCAATTTGTGCTAGCGGACGGCGGATGTCCCGGATGATTGGCGATCCGCAGTCATTGTGCCTTTATATAAAGGTAAAGGTTCACATTTTGACTGCGGGTGCTATCGGGCGATCAGCTTGACCAGCAAGTAAAGTTTACTCGAAGGTTTTGACACGTAGGATGCAAGAGAAATCGGAAAGATTTCTATGGGAGGCACAATGCGGATTTAGACCTGGAAGAGGATGCACGGATCAAATGTTTTCTCTCCGCATGATCACGGAAAAGCTTCTGGCTGCTAACCAGAAGATTTTCTGTGCTTTTGTGGATCTTAAGAAAGCATTTAATAAGGTTGTAAGGAAGAAAATGTGGGAACTGTTGCCGGGGTATGGTGTGGAAGGTCTATTGCTAAGGGCTGTGCAGTCTCTTTACTGTGACTGTAAAGCCTGTGTGCGGGTAGGGCATGACCTGTCACCCATGTTTAACGTCCAAACGGGCGTAAAGTAGGGTTGTGTCATGTCTTCCTGGCTGTTCATACTGTATCTCGACAGCTGTTTACAGAAGCTGAAAGATAGCTGTTTGGGTGTGAAATTGGGTGACATAAAAGTAAATTGTCTGCTGTATGCTGATGATGCAGTGCTTATTGCACCATCAGAGGCAGAACTGCAGGCATTAGTCACGTGTATGAAAGAGGAATGTGAAATTAAAGGTCTCCGTTTGAATGCTAATAAAACTAAGGATCTGGTATTTGAAAGGGACGAAGAGAGAACGAAGTGTGAAATGTGGGTAAATCAGGAATGTCTAGAACAGGTAAATGAAATTGTATACTTGGGGAGTGCTTTTAGCCGGGATGGAAGATGTGATTTAGATGTGGACAGGCGTGTCGCTGCCGGGAACAAAGTCAATGGTGCCCTGACTGCGTTAGTCAAAAGGCAAGGCGTAGCGAAGAGTGCACGCCTTACAATACATAACGCAGTGTTGGTACCGACTTTGTTATATGGCAGCGAAACCTGGGTATGCCAGAAGAAGCATAAAAGTAAGTAGAATGCAGTGGAGATGCGATCTCTTCGTAAAATGTGCGGCGTTACCATGGCCGACCGAAAGCGAAACGAAGAGATTCGCAATATGGCAGGGCTGTGCAGTCTCTTTCTGTGCTGAATGAAGGAGACGTGTTGCTTGTACAAGAACTTTAATTATACTGTCGCTATTCTATACTTAATACTAATATCATGAATGTATATTGTCGGAGGTATGGCAGGTTTGAAAGATGACCTTATCACAAAAATTGATAAGGGCGTGCTACGGTGGTTTGGGCACGTTGAGCGAATGGTGAAGAAAATATATAGTGCGAAAGTTAATATTAAAAGGTGTCGAGGTAGACCCAGACTAACTTTCGAAGACCATGTGAGCAAATTGCTCGAAGAGGGTAGGGTCAAGAGTACTCGGATACCTAGACGTGCATGCATGAAGAAGATAATGAATCTGAAAGAAGCGAAAGAGGTTTGTAAGGATCGTGACACTTGGCGATCTGTTCTCTCTGGCTACCCCGTCAGGGATTGTGCGTGAAGATAACATAACTAGTATTTTATCGTTTTTTTTTTTGAAAAATCGCACCTGGACTACGAACAGTAATCTGACGATGGTGGAACCTAATAATCTGAATGATTAAGTACTGTGGTTAAAAAAACATTATATTTTCAAAAGAAATACAAACATAATGAGAAACTAAAACGAAAAATGCTAAACAAGAATTTGTACATCGACGAACACAAGCATAAGTGTACATGATATATGTACATGAAGACTGTTATTTTATTGGACATTTTTATAACATGTAATTTATTGAAAATCTGTGCCCTCATTTCTTATGTTCTTTTTGCTGTAATTTGTGCATTTGGCATATTAATGTTATTTCTACTTTAAAGTGATATTCTTCCTATCTATCTTAGATTTCTTCTAGTTTTAAAAAGTAATTTTAAGTGTACATTATTTGACATAACTTTTTTAGAATGCATGTACTATACTGGTATAATTATTCATTAATTTTGATCCTGTGTAAATTTTTTCGATTTTCAAACCGACCTATTATTAAAGATTTTTTGAAAGTTATTTTCTAAATAACATATACTTACATAATATCTCAAAAATTATTTCTACGCAACTTTTTTAATGAATAGGTCCCTAGTACTTGGACTTGCCTTACAGACTTGACTTTTTTTTGTCACTTGGATATAATTATTGCGTAACAATAAAATGATACTTATTTTAAAATATTTTATAAGCATTGGATTACTTAAAAACTCACCTGCTTCGTTTCAGCATACTCTTTTATTCTTTCCACAGCTACAATGTTCGTTTCTACTTCTGACGTCATCCGTACGAGCCAATTGAGTGTTTGCGTAATCTATAAATATTTATTGTTTAGTTAAAATAGTAAATTCAAGAAATAATGCTAAAAATAAATCTAAAATAAAAAGACATAAAAGCAGATTATAATCTATACAAATAAATAAAACTGAAATATCTGTTTGTAATGTCAAAATAACACCTTTTTACTAAATGCATATGAAAGTATATACGGTACTTATAGCAAAAAATATTAAAAAACTTTGTCTGCCTGTTTGTTCCGGATAAACTCCGAAACGGCTAAACCGAGTTTGACGGGACTTTCACTGGCAGATAGCTGTTATAAGGAGTAATTTAGGCTTACTTTGATTTTAGAAGAAGCATTAGGGTTTCGCGCAAAAAAAAACATGAAATCCAATAAAAAAAAGAATAAAATCGAGAATATAAGTTGATATACGCGATAAAATTCGTAAAATCTAGTTTTATTTAAATGTGTAGTGTTCGCGTAAATATAACAAATCATTATTGTAAATCAGTACGGACTGGTAATTTCAAATAAAACTCGCCGATTAGAAGATCTCATGACCAAGCGCGCGAGATATTTAATAGTCTTAACTGAGAGATGTCGAGAGCCGAGACCATAATGTCATTCCTACGTGTGTCAAAATATCAACCAAAAAGGACATTCGAGAAAGCGCTAAGAGCTTAAATCAGGCAAGTAAAAAGTTGGTACGAACGGTAATCCAACAAAAACGCTCCGATCTACATGACATAAACAGATCCATATACACATCATACAGTTATAAACGAGAAATTAATAAATATAACGAATGCAAAAACAAACATATAGAAAAATATCAAAAATTAACGACCAAAATAAATGTCAAGCATCTGTGTCAACGTCAGAACGAAACACAACCGTTGACCATAAACATGGATCATAGATTAAACGCAGTCTATAATCTGTCAAAACAATCGCTAGATGATGCCACAGTTAGAGTATTATTGAAGGGAATTAATTTCGCCATAACACCGCGGAGATTACCGTACGAAGAAATTATCTGCAGCGTCGAGGACTGTTTATTAAAAACAATATGCGAAAGGAAGATTTGGAAGCGATACGTCGAGACATTTCGTCCATGTTACGTCGCAGCGCCGAAACCGAATCTACCCAAAGACGAATTTAGAGAGAACCTACGCAATAAACCAGAACTCACAATTCTCCGCGCAGTTATGAAAAATGCCACGATAGTTATGGATATGTCCGATTATAATTCTAAAATACAAAAACGAATTGTCGAATGCAAGCACAGTTATAAAAAGGTTAAAAACGACCCAACAAATAACACACTTAAAACAACTAGTGACCTCATAAAGAAACACTCCGAAAAATGAAATCTGGACGTAAAATCGATAATACCTACGTGTGCCAAGCCACTTTCGCTAAGTGTTGGGCCGACTTACTTACAGATTGGTCCTACACTTAGCGAAAATACTCTCACCGCTCAGGGGACATACAAGATCACACACAAAGGATTCCTACCATTTTGTCACCGAGATTGTCAGAGGTGTCACAGACAACATTGGCTACATCTTGAAGCGAGGTTCTATTTAAACATTCTTCAAGCCGCCGAAGAAGATTAGTCAGTTCTTACCATCCGTCAAGTGCAATATTCCTCTACAAGATGCAGGAGTGTACAAGCTTGATTGTGAATGTGATCTCTCATATATAGGGCAAACAAAACGATCAATAAAAACCCGCGTAAAAGAACACATAGCTGACGTGAAGCACCAACGTTCCGGGAAGTCTGCAGTTTGTGATCATATCCTAGACGGCCCCCGCCATTACATTGGATTTGATATTATCACAAATTCTCGCGAAAGAACATCGATTCCTGCTAAGGATGATACGTGAGGCTATTGAAATTAAAAAAAACATCCTCATGTCAATAGAGAGGGAGGCTGGGTACTACCACCTGCTTAGGATCCTGTAATTAATAAAATTCAAAATAAACCCAAACGTACCACTGCAAGACTTCAAGACACAGTAAGTTCATTCTCCGTAGATCGGACCAAAATTAGTAATTAAAAAAAGCTGAAGGTACCTCGAGTTAACTCTGACATCGGGACGTCAATCACCTCAGTCCCCCGTGACCACGGGTGCTGTAAAGCACCCGAAAAGTCGGGAATTAATAAAAATAAGATAAATAAGTTAATAAAACGCAAAAAAAAATCCGTAAAAGTAGTTTTATTCAATGTGTAGTGTTCGCGTAAATATAAGAAATCATTCCGTAAAAACAAGTTTTATTTAAATGTGTAGTGTTCACGTAAATATAAGAAATCATTCCGTAAAAACAAGTTTTATTTAAATGTGTAGTGTTCACGTAAATATAAGAAATCATTCCGTAAAAATAAGTTTTATTTAAATGTGTAGTGTTCACGTAAATATAAGAAATCATTCCGTAAAAACAAGTTTTATTTAAATGTGTAGTGTTCACGTAAATATAAGAAATCATTCCGTAAAAACAAGTTTTATTTAAATGTGTAGTGTTCACGTAAATATAAGAAATCATTCCGTAAAAACAAGTTTTATTTAAATGTGTAGTGTTCACGTAAATATAAGAAATCATTCCGTAAAAACAAGTTTTATTTAAATGTGTAGTGTTCACGTAAATATAAGAAATCATTCCGTAAAAACAAGTTTTATTTAAATGTGTAGTGTTCACGTAAATATAAGAAATCATTAGAAAAAAATCTGAAAAACGGTTGACTCTGTAGGTCATTCCCGGAAGTTCCCGCTTATTTTCGAGCCTTGCGCTGGAGGTAGGACTTTCTTTTAGGAAAATTCCTCGTCTTTTTGAATCTTTTCATAGATGTAAAAAATATTTATTTGTTTTTGAGATATTTTAAAAAAACCAAAACCCCTTTTCTTCCAGTAAATTGTTTATAACTTTTGCAATTTTTGCGAGTGAGAACTTATTTTTTTTTCAAAAATCATCTACATGCTATTCCAAATCGAAAGATAACTAAAAAAGTTGAAAAAAAAAGCACTTTGTTGTTTAGATTAAACATGCCTCTTTTTAATTAGGCGTCATTATACATAACACAGATAACGTCGTGTGGTGGCGGCCTAAAAGAAATCCGCTACCCCATATCATGTTGTGAGTGTCGTAAGAGACACCAGAGGGATCTGAAACACGAGATCGGCAGCAGTATCTCCCTGATAACAAAATAACAATTAAAAAAAACTGCCTTGTCCACCCGTCTGCCAAACTAGACAAATATTGCCCTATGCCAATCAGTGGGGAAGGCCTATGTTTAGCAGTGGACTTTTCATAGGCTGTAATGAAACATAACAGAGATAATAACATTTACGTGGTAGAGTCACTGCAGCTATATTATGACTGCAGCAAGTTGGTCGACCAGGGTAGGACCACGCTCTCTAGAATACCACCATGAAACAACAGAATTATGATGTGTTTCATATGGTGAGCGTAGAGAACCTGTCAAGAAGTCCTCAGAACCACCCCACCCAACGCATCTGCATTTCTATTCTTAATCTAGGATTAATGGTGACTATATATGTCTATGGGTCGCAGCATACACTTACCATCCGGTGGACTGTGTACTCGCTTGTCATCCTAATTCTATAAAATAAAAAAATAAAAACGCCTAGTGACCTGCAAGGCGTAGCTGACGGAAAGACCGACGAGGCCGGGTTTGATGGTGTCGCGCGCCAGCACGGCGAACAGCGCAGAGAAGAATATAATGAGGTTGCCGATCATCTCCAGCCGCACCGCCAGCCAGCGGTTCGCGATGCAGCTCGGGTAGTAGCACGCCTGGTTGTGGTCCACGCCGCGCTCAGACTCCTCCACGAACCTGCCCGTGCCCGCCGATATACAACTTTGTAAGTGAGTGCTCACAGAGAAATAGGGTATATTTTTAGGTTGAACTCAAAAGATCACATCTAACTAACACAGAAATAATGAGTTAAAATTGTGTAACAGCAATCCGGGAAACAGTAAGATGAAAAATTTGATGGATTAATGACCGTGGGGCTATTCAGTAGTTCTACGATTTTACAGTTTATGTAATAACAATTTAAAATTTATGTAGTAGCTTTTTAACAGTCCCTTGACTTCATAACTTCTTAAGAAACGATGACGTTGCTTTTATGCAGAAAAGTTAACTTGATTTTTCAGAAAAGTACAATTTACTTTATTTTTCCTTACAATGCAAACAATTCTAAAAGATTTGTGGAAAAATACAAATAATGATAATAATAAATTAGTGGTAAAATAAAATAGAAATAAATATTACAAATGTTAGATGCGTGTAATTTTGATTCAGTTGCCAAGAAATCAAAATAGTAAAAGGAACACTTATAGTTTGTAAGTATCATCACGGTTAGTAAGAAAGTGACTTCTGTTTAATTCTCAATTAACCTCTGTTACGTCAGTTTGTGATCAGTTAAAAATAAAGAAAATTCAAAATGACGGTTTAAAAAAATAACAATATAAACTAATATTTATTATTAATAATAATACTTTTCTTGACATTTTAAAATCATAAAATGTACATTAAAATGTAAGTACCTCTGAGTGACACCGTAGGCTCGTATGGTGCTGGCCCCAGTGATGCTCTCCCCGAAGTGCGAGTAGATGGGCGAGCGTGACACGGACTCGAGCCGCTTCAGCTGTCGCGACGTGGCCACGTAGAACCGCTGGATCAAGTAGTACACGATGCCGATCGGCAATATCACGCTCATGAAGATCGGCGTCGACAAACTTATTACGAATAACGTTCCGAGAACCTGCCAATGAATTTAGTGTCAACGCTCATATGAATGCTTTGTGAATAACGTAGATTGATTTATTTGTGCATTTTAGAAATTGGCCACTTTTACACACCACTTTATTTTACCAGAAAAAAAAATTAAAGTAATTCAGTAGCTATCACATAGGTGATAACAGAAATTCAATTTAATTTGACGAACTTATTCACGTTCGTTTTATTTATTTAAAAAATAGACTATTACTTTTTTTACTATAATATTATCATTGGACTAGAGCATTAAAACCAATACGTGAGTATTGTTAGTAAGAAATAGACACTCGTGTGTTTGCTATTACCCAATTTAGGAAATTTTGAGATTGGAAATTTTTGATTAATTTTCTTTATTAATGTTCTGTTTAAGTCACTGAATATGGTCTTAATTTTTTTCTGATAATAATAAAAATAAAGAAATAAATATAAAATGTTACTGACAAAATCTAAAGGTTTTGTTATTAACGTCCTCTGAAAGTCACAAATAGTACAATGTGAAACATTATTGCTGTACACCATAATAATTAATATGGTTCTTGGGATCAGTTTATGTATGTTGGAATTCGCATAGAAATATTTAATTACTATCCATTAAATCAAAGGTTTCGGTTTCCAATATATTAATCGATATCAGAAATTTGATATCAGAGGTTTCTTCCGAACCAGTGGTAAAATTAAACAAAAAAAGTGACTTTCAATAAGTATTACTTATAAACTTATAATCTATATTGAATAAAAAAGTTTCCGTTTCTGATAGTTTAATATATTGCAATAGATACCAAGCAAACATTATTTTAGTCTGCAATTTAAATACGTCTAAAGTAGCATAGGGTATTTATTTTTTTGCCTCATATACATTCTAGCATATGATGTGTTCACACGCAAAAGAAGGAAAACTAATGTTCAAAAGGTATTATAAAGGTGCACAGTATTATTTAAACATGTCTTCCTATTAGAAAAGCTTACGCCAATCGGAAAACTGTAAAGTAACCATATTCAAACAATACGCTGACCTTGGTAGCATAAACAAGAAACATTCTTTGATTTTAACCCCGTACTATGCACAAAACTGGCTACTATGGGACATAATGTGTATACGTTATGCAAAAGCATTTTATATTGTCTGTGTACATCGTAAGAGACGTTTAATACCGGTGTCAACTTTATGTGGCGAAACGGCGAATCTTATCTATGAGCTTTACCAAAAATGTAAGGTTTGTTTTCGATGTAATTATCAACGATTTTACCTCGAAAGCGCAATATATCACATCGGATGTCTGTGTCGGCAGCGACGTGTCCAAAATATCCACGTCTTTAGAAAACCTGGAGAGGATTCGGCCGAGTGGAGTCACTTCGAAGAATTGCAAGGGAGTCTTTAATACATTCTCCAACAAAAACGCGTGGAGAATCTTCGCCGCCCGCCAACACCCCAAATACGGTGCTAAGTCCGCGAAAAACGAAGCTAACGCTGCAACAATATTTATGGAAGATATATTTCATATCAGGCTCGAAGGAACATGCACAAACTGCAATGTATGTGCACTTCTTACTTAAATACATATTTATACGCGAAGTAGACTGTAGCCTCGCCATACCGGTTCGACACCAACCGCATAAAATTGGCATCTCTTCACTAACCAATGATACGAAATATGAATAATGAATACATTATTTAAATATGAAACGTGAAAGATTAAAAAGCAATTACGTGATACAAAATGACACTACACTCGAGGGACGATGATGTGCTAGATGCTTTCTAGATATTCGACATTTCTACATGCACTAAAGAATAAGACTTGACGGGAGTAGTAAATAAATAAACACATAAAACTTTACCTGTACAGCTGGACTAGTTTTTGCTGCCCTATCATATAAACGTAATATTAGATAAAAATTTGAGAACGAAAATAATATTTGTATAAACAATTTACTATAAAATTCATAAACTGATCCCAAGGTAGTGGTCGCCGTAATCTACAGTTTTACTTATGACGGTAGCGTAATACATTTTTTTATTTTAGTCAGTCATTTATGGGATTGTGTTCACGAAATAAAGCAGTTAAGTGTAAAATTTAACGAATCTATGCGTTTTGATTATTCTGGAATTTTAATTATATTCATATTATAATACTTTTAAATAAGAGTACATAGCAGGACGTTGTTGATCTTAGAGATCAGCGTAACTTACCAGGCATAACGGATACATAAGAATCATCCAGTTGACCTCATAAGTCATAAGTACCCCATAAATTTTTTATTAAAATCAATCAAGCCATTTAGGAGGAGAACATTTAGAAAAAGACGCGTACTGGAATTTTATATATATTGTAAAGATAATAATAATAGAAAATATATTATAAAATTTTGGTTTTACTAATTATTTATATTTCAACAGACTTAATACACATAACTTCTTTATTTCGTAAAAAACGGTAATGCATGTTCTGGCGTTTTATTGAGTGTAATTGAAATTGTAGAGCAATATGAGTGTGCGACAGTGTGTGTTGGGTCGGTCGGGTACCGCGAAGAAGCAGGAGGTCCAGCCGCGGAGCGTCATGGGCAGCACGTTGTCGAGCACGTCGACGTCCTTGCTGAAGCGGTTGAGCACGCGGCCGACGGGCGTGCAGTCGAAGAAGCCGATGGAGGGCGCGCGCAGCACGCCGGCCAGCAGCCCCGCGTGCAGCGCGCGCGCCGCCGCCAGCGTGCCCAGGTACAGCGCCAGCGACGACACCGACACCGACACCACTGCGCCACACCGCACACTCACAAACTGCTGCCACGCATTGCCCACCTCCCCCACCCCCGCCTCGGACTACAAGCATCCGGAATCGCACGTACTCGCCGGAACGCGGCCCGAATTTAATCGAGTTGACTCTACATACGGATAGGAGCTATCCCATTGCGATTTTCACCAAGTAGCATCTGGATCATGCTCGTCTTTTTCTGGGCCCCCGATCCGTTATATTTGGATAAAAGGGTTTGTATGAAGTTAACACGGACACCAACAACAATTCCGTGCCGAGCGCCAGTATTTTTATTTAATTTAATCCAAATACAATAAATTCAGCGAATTAAGTATTAGTATAGTCAGTTACAAACTGACCTCGAATTTTTTTCGGACCGAGAAGATTCAGATGCATGTAGTCGGAGTCTTATCGGCAATCTCGGAAATATGTAACATTACTCGAAAAAAAAAACCCATAAATTTATCCCCCCTATGAGTTGTGCCGTGCGAGCCTTCTGCACTTATTTATTCTATGAGCACATAAAGACAGCAATATATAGCCGCGCATATTGTTTAAACAGCTGAATACTTTATTGTACTAAAAAACTAAGGTAAATATATTTGTTTTACAAAATCTAATATTGTCTGTCGAACAGTACCTCCTAAGATATACCGTATCTAAGAATTAAAGTTTTGATATCAGAAGCTATTATGTAAATTTATTTCATCCTTATTAGTTATTTGAAGTCGGTTTTTACTTTTATTAAAAGTTAGTTTTTTTTAACCTTTTTTAGTAAAATAGAATATCATAAGCTCAAAATAACAACTAGAATGTGGTCTAAATTTTGTGCACTGCATTGTGGATGCCATTTTTTTTCAATCTTATAATATGGGACAACCCGTTTCTTTTAATATGGGGCCGTAATTCTTATAATATGAGACCGTCCCCGTAACGATATCAAATCCTGGGTAGGGCCTAAATCAGTTATCGAGTTTTTCTTACAAGAAATTCTCACTAGTAGCCCACAACGTGCTGGTGTATCACACCCGTGCATTGAAAAACAGTCGTTTAGAACTGAGCCGTGTCGTACTGCCGTTCATGACTATACCAGCGAGGGGAATAGAGTGCACCCGTGCTTGCGAAAACACTCGGCACTATAATCCTGTCAGGAGTAAGCTAGTCATTGTTGGTCACACCTGCTGCTGTGACCGAATTTCGGTCTGAAGGAAATGATTAAATAAAAAAAAAATACAAATAAAAACATTGAAATCGTTCACAATTGACGGAGATATCGCGTAACATACATCAAAAACCATATAGTTGAATTGTGAACCACATCATTAAACCTTCCGTTAAAAATAAGGTTTCAAGTACATAACTACTTTTAGTAAATTATATATCTTTAACTTTGAACAGTATCCTTACATCCCGTTGAATCTTAATTTATATGTATAAGTAGAAGCACGAAGTCTAGCTGTGACCGTTATTGCGCATAAGTCGAAAAGAAGGTATGATGGTGTAGTAAGCGGGTCGCGGCTCGTGCGTATCGTTCGCTCGGCTCTCCAGTCGCATTCGTGCAATTCAATTCGTGCGCGATAGTTTTTTTTTATAGCATAAGGGTGACAAACGAGCACACAGTCCACTTGTTGGTAAGTGGTCGATGCGGCCCATAGACATCTACATCTATCCTCTATTACAAATCAAAATGCAGATGCGTTGTCACCCGCGAGGACTAAGATGGAATGTCTCATTTCCAGTAAAAAGGGTCTCCAGTTCTCTGCACTCACCATACGACTCATTCGTGCTTTTTTATAACCCGTATTTAAATTTTTCTTGTAACTAAATTTTTTTCCTGTATCGTGGGGATAGCTTATATTTTTTTTTATAGGATAGGTTGACAAACAAGCACATAGTCCACCTGATGGTAAGTGACTATCTATATATCAAAATGCAAATGCGTAGTCACCCGTGAGGACTAAGATGGAATGCCTCTTTTAGAGTAAAAAGGGTCTCCGGTTCTCTACACTCACTATACGAAACGCCTACTTTACGCTGGTATTCTGTGAGAGCGTCATCCTTCCCCGGTCGAGCCAACCCATTCGTGCCACAACTGTACTACTAATATAGCTGCAGCATAGCTCTACCACGTAAAAATGCGTAGCTATCCCCTACGTAGCCATGCGTAGCTATCCCCTCCACGTTTCATTCAGCGCTAGACTTACGCGCCGCGACTTGTACATATATAAACACCCACTACACAAAACTATAATTAATATTTACAAAATGCGTATGAAACAACAACATACACTTGATGAATTTAATTATAGGATTGTACTTTATCTCGATTTTAAATCTTAAAAACTCTCATAACTGTATTCAATTCACGTAATATTAACAGAATAACAGGTGACAACGGGAGCAAAACGCAACAAGATCCCCTGTTCTCCCAGTTAACCCACAATGTTCCTTATTTTCCACGTACAGGTATATTTATTTGTGTTAAATGTGACCAGTACCATTATATATTTTTATATAGAATTATTAAACTTTACATCTTGTTTAATAATTGTACACTGCATTTACAAAATAATACAATATAAAATCTTTTTTATTACTTACAAAATAAATTATAATTTTAGCAAGTACTTCTTTAGTAATTTTTATTTTTTTGTAATGATTACTGTACGGCCCAACATTAAAATCTCTAAATGGGAATAATGATCTAGATTAAGGGTGACACACACATATCTACATATATTTTCGACTAAAAATCAAAATTCAGATGTGTTGTCGTCACCCCTGAGGAACTAAGATGGAATGCCTTGTTTTCAGTAAAAAAGGTCTCTGGTACTCTACAGTCTACTACACTCACCATACGAAACAGCAGAATTAAGGTGCTATTTCACACTGGTATTATGTGAGAGCGTGGTCCTTTCCCGGTCGAGCCGACCCATTCGTGCTCCAGCCATAATATAGCTGCAGCATGGCTCAACCATGTACAAATTATTGATAATCGGAGTAATTTACATATTTTTTTTGTGTAAATGTTCAAATACAATTTTGTTTCGCGACCAACAAACTATGTCGTAACTTACTGGTTCTCCATACAATTTATAAAAAAAATGTAGGGAAATCTTTCGATTACTAGTGAAAGATATTTCAATATACAGTGTCAAAGTGTCAACTGTCCTAAAATGACCTATGACTATTTAATCAACCAAAAAAGTAGTCACTTAGATTGCTCTTATCCTGTGTAAAATTTCCAATATAAGCAAACACAACATGCAAGTTTAATTATAAAAGGTAGTTATAAATTATGTAAAACATTTCCATGATCATGCAGGTTATTTGAATATTTCAAACAAACATAAGAAACATGCAATAATTGTTTATGTTTTAATATAAATGTATACAAAATAATATGGATAACACATAATATGAATAATCAGAGTTATAAATAATTTACATATAATACTAATATAAACTTTAAATAATGTATTCATTATCATTTCATTAATTCTTTTCTTCTGATGTGAAAATTATTTAAATTTAATAAAGTAAGTAAATAATAAAGATATTTTTATAAATTCACAAATTTGATTAAAAATTAGTCATTAAAAGAAAAGTTATTAAACCGGTATTCAGGGACAATCTCGAGTTTGAACTCAAACTCCATAGTGTCAATATTTGATTCTAGCCCATACCGTGCCCCACAAATTTTGACAATGTTAAGTTCGAGTTTAAAGTCGAAATTGTTTCTGAATAACGGCTTTAGTGTCCAAAATAACTAGTTACAATGTAATCAGTGATATTAAGCCACATGATATTACACCAGCAAAACCGTAGATGCACAAGTGAATCAACATATCAAGTTAAAAAAGAATGTTTTGTTGTAATGGAATTCAGAATAGTCCTTATAGACTGGTTAACATATGATAGCAAACATAGCCTTATCGCTGTTTTTACAGAGGGGAGATAAGAATCGTCTATCCAATAACTCTCAAAAAGGTGTTCACTTTTAGTCGTTACGGTTAATATTAAATATAATATACAATGCAAATATAATTTTAACATATAAATATAAAATGATATATGTGTAAGATGTCATTGAGTAGTCGATCCATTTATAACCAAGTAGGCTATGTGTTAAAGAAAAAGTGTTAGGCTCCGGCTACTGTACTGCACAACCATTTCACTCCATAGCGTCTTGCATGCTGTTTGCGCAAAGTTTTCGCAAAAAATATGTGTGGAGTCCACACGCCGCCTTAACGTACATGCTTGCTTGTGCAAATTAGAATTATGTGCAAGTAAAATTGAGCGTGTAACCGGGCCCTTAAAAAATTTCAAACAGAATTTTCATTCTGCAACCTAACGAGCTAAACAGCTTAACAAAGATTAAATATGTTTAAAGACATTCTTAGTAAGTTTAGGAAAATTAAATTTACATAATTTACTAGAACAGTAATAGTTACTATAAGTACACTTAGAGAAATAAATTTATAATAAGAAAATAAAAGTTTTGTAGTAACCCGTCTTTTAGGAGCGAAGGCTACTAAGAACCGAAAATTATTACTTAAGCTTAATTTTGTATTTGAAATACAACTAGCAAGTACTACAACCAGTTTAACTATACTACCTTTTAATAGTTACGCTAGTTGGTTTATTTGTGCATCTAATTTAACTATTTACATAAAATAATATTTATACATAAGTAATAATAATAAATATTTTATATTATTTTTATGACTTTTATTTAAAATGTGTATTTCACTTTTTGTATTAAAATATATAATAATTTTTGTATCTATATATTATATATGTATGCGAAAATAATGCCAACTTCAATAAAAACACAAATCTCCCATGTATATAAACATTTATAATGGATTTTATAAGACCATAAACATTAAAACAGTGAAAATCGTGCTTTTTAGTATTATGGATCCCACAAAATTCAAGTGTTAAGACTAAAACAAATATTCAAAAATAAGTAACTTACCTTGCCCAATACCGAGGCCACCATAGACCCCAAGATAAAGATCCCGTTTGCTTTTGTCTAAAGTACCATTTTCCATCTGGAACAAAGTTATCAATATTAAAATTAAACTTTAAAAAAATCCTTTAAAGTAAACATAGTAATTATATTACACTCTTTGGTCGGGGGCTTCAATTCTTCAATATACTGTCTTAGGACCAACTCCAGAAGCTATTATCTGGAAATTATTTTATTCTCTTTAATTGAATGAAACTATATTTACGGATTGTATCGCATTTAATTTACTTATTTTATTTTAATTTCCGACGTTTCGGGTACTTTGCAGCAACCCATGGTCAGGGGCAACGCCGTCTTAGACCATACCGGGGCCCTTGGGCACACAAGAATTTGGGGCCCTATTGGAAAGTGAAAAAAAAGTGAAGGACAAAAACATTTTTCTGCTATGATCTTATATTTATTATAGTTAATTGGTAAAAACCAAATATGTAATATGTTATTAATTAGAAAAGTACGTTAGTAGTTTGAATTGGTTACTCTTACGATAGTGGTTTCTTTCGTGATTTCTGTTGTACAAAATCTTTTATTATATCTTCAAATGTAATTACTCTAAGCCTATATTCATGTCTTTTTCTTCTTATGAATTTATACAACAACATTTATTTAGCTGTAATTATATAAATACATTGAATGCCGAAAATAAAAAAAATCTAGCCTATAAGTAAGGCGATTGTACAGCCCGACAAAAACGTTTAGATGGTGGTGAAAAGCGGAACTACATATTTTCTACCTAGGAAATCTATCAATATCAGGTTTTCAATGTGTGGCTTGTCACTGCTCGGGGTTGTCTTTATCTATTAATTTTTCATCATTAATCTATTATTTTTTGTGAGGTTATATTTTCATAAAATAGAAAAAACGATTTTATAGTGTAAGCGAATATATCGGTCTTTCGGTGCCCCCTGGGCACGGGCCCCGTGTGCCCTTATGGTAAAGACGGTACTGGTCAGGGGGTCATTGAGATGATTGACGTCCCGATGTCATAGTTAGCCCGGCTACCTTCAGTTTTTGAATATTAATTTTTGGTTCGATCTAACCAGAATGAGCTTACAGTATCTTGAAGTCTTGCAGTGGTATGCTTGGGTTTGGATTTAATTTTGTTAATTATAGCAGCACCCATCCATTTTCTCTATTGAAATTAGGATGTATTTTTTTTTAAATTTAAATGCCTTGCGTATCATCCTTGGTAGGAATCGCTGTTCTTTTGCAAGGATTTGTGGTCTATCAAATCTGATGTAATGGCGGGGACGATCTTGAACATTTTCACAGACTGCAGATTTTCCAGAGCGTCGGTGCCTCACATCAGTACATACACGATCACGTTAATAGATCTTTTTGTTTGTCCTATGTAAGAGGGACCACATTCGCGATCAAACTTGTACTCTCCTGCAACATCTTAGTCTCTCTCCTCCCCTCCCCGTGACCATGGGTTGCTGTAAAGCACCCGAAACGTCGAGAATTAAAATAAAATACGTAAAAATAAGTAAATTAAACGCGATAAAATCCATAAATATAGTTTTATTCAATGTGTAGAATTCGCGTAAATATAAGAAATTATTCTTTTTAGTTCTTTAGATTGGTTTTCAATTTTTATTAAGTTTATTTTTTTTTTAACCCTATTGTGGGATCTAAGGAATATCACAAGTTCAAGGTAAATTCCGCGCGCTCTATCTTGGTCGGGCTGAAGTTAGTCGCGATTGTAATAGCACAATATGCGTATTCGCATATTTTTTTAAATTTATTTATGTACCCACAACAAGATACAGAAACAGTTTTACAGTGAAGTTGTACAAAGGTTCTACTTATTCCATAATTTGCTGAAATATCTTCCAGTAGACCCACAATTTTGAGCCCAAATATAAAACGAATACACTGGTTTTGCTAGCGCTCCAGTTTGTTAAGGAGCTCCTCTGTAGCATCCAAATAACAGGCGTCAGCATAATCAAGCAGTGGTAGGATAAGAGTGAGCACGAGTGATATTTTAGCTTTTAGGGGTAAGACATTTTGAAGACATTTAAATGAATGCAAGGTAAAATAGACTTTACGACTAACCTGAGCAATGTGCGCGGACTATGATAAATGGTGATCGAATATGACGCCTAAGTTTTTCACAGTACCGGCAAAGGCTATAGGAACGCCGTTAAAGCAAACGTGAGGTAATGATGTAAATTCTAATTTATTGCGCAAATGCCTGCTGCCTATTATGATGGCCAGCGATTTCTTGGGATTAACTAATAGTCCAAAGGATGCAGACCATTCACAGATGCGGCTCAGATCCGCATTCATGGCTTCAATTGCATTATTTGTATAACACACCGGAAAATGACGATACAGATGTAAGTCGTCCGCGTAAAGATGGATATTAGATGTAATAACTGTCGTAATAGAGTTAATAAATATACAAAATAAAAGAGGAGAAAGAACGCCACCATGAGGTACGCCCATAGGGATACGAGACCAATCGGAAAGAGTGTCATTAAGATGGACACAGTGCGAGCGACCTCGAAGATACGAATCAAACCACGTAATGACAGATGGAGAAATGTTTATAGATTCCAAGATCCCGAGAAGAATATCGAAAGTCTACTGAGGTAAAAGCACTGCTAAAGTCAAGCAAAACTAGAAGTGTAAGAGATTTGTTGTCCATGGCCGCACGGGTATCATCGGTTACTTTAAGTAAAGCAGTGACGGTGCTGTGACCAGGACGAAAGCCCGACTGATATGTAGAAAGCAAAGAGTTAGACGATAAGAAGAAAGAAAGTTGCCTATGGATAATGTGTTCCAGAACTTGATACCGAACCGAACAGAACCAGAAAGAAAGGGTAAAATAGATATGGGACGAAAGTGAAAAAGAGAAGAAGGATTAAAAACCTTAGGTAAAGGAATTATATATGCTTGTTTCCAAACTGAAGGAAAAGATGAGGATGATAAGGAGAAATTAAATATGTGAGTAAGAATTGGAAGAAGTAGAGGTAGAACTGGCATAATCATCTTCGAGCATAGACCGTCGTTACCAACAGTAGTTGAAGAGATGGCTTGGATGGATTTTTTTGGCATCTTTCTCCGTCACAAGGGAAAGTTGAAAAGGGAAAACGTGTGGTTTAAGGTTACGCGACAATGTGAGTATATATGTGTGTGATAGTGTGAGTTTATACCTTCGCTTAGCTTTGTCCCCTGACCCTGTAGCTCCCTTATACCACGTGTAATCCATGGTTCAGGTTACGCTCTATCTTTACGCGTTTGAGCGGGGCATGGTTATTGTATATGTTCAAAATTATGTCATTAAAATTACAAATTTTATCATTAATATTAGTATTGTCAACAATAGGGGTCCAATCAATATTACTTACATCACGCTGCAATGCCTCTAGATCTTAGACCTTATAATTACGGAGGAACAAGTATTGCGATTTCTGTTTAGGCGGACGTAGACGATAAGAGAGGTAGATTAAATCATGATATGAAAAAGATGCCGTTATTTGCCCATGAGGCATTACTCTATCCAGAGAAGAAACGATCATAATATCAAACAAAGAAGGGTTACAGTTAGGGAAGTGATGAGTTGCATGAAGGGGAAGAGTGTGAAGGTTAAAGGAAGATACCAAAATCAGAAGTTTTTTGGAGCGAGAATCATTTTTAATAAGGCAGGTATTGAAATCTCCCATAAGAATAATAGTTTTGACAGTGGTAGAGCCACGCGACAGCTTTTGCTGTCGCACGGATGGGCCGGCTCAAACCGGGGTGGTACCACGACCTCACAGAATACCAGCGTGTAGTAGAGGTTTACCTCTGCGTTTCGCTCGGTGAGTGCAGGTGGCCGGAGGCCCTTTTTACTGGAAAAGAGGCATTCCACCTTAGTCCTCACGGGTGACAACGCATCTGCATTTTGATTCGCAAACGAGGATAGATGTAGATGTCCATGGGCCACAGCTACCACTTACCATCAGGTGGACTTTGTGCTCGTTTGTCACCCTATCCTATAAAAAAAAAAGATCGTAAACAGGACTAATATCAGAAAGGATTTTATCAAGCGTTTCGAAATAATCTATATGCATGTTAGGAGTATAAAAGACCGCCAGTAGCATTTTTACATGATTAAGAGTTATTTCGATAAAAAGATATTTAGCAATTTGAGAGTAAATAGAAGGAGAGGCACATATAATTTTATAAAATATATCAGAACGGAGGTATATAGCTATCCCACCGCTACCTTTTCCTATCATCTTTAGTTTTAGTTACCGCCCGACCTCCTCCTCTTGTTGTTATATTGTTCCTAAAATCTATATTTGCGCAGCCACTCTCGCGACTAACTTCAGCCGGGCCAAAATAGAACGCGTGGACCATAACAATTAGAAGTCGCTAAAACAATTCCGTTAAAAACTCCATCCCCTATTTTTCCACCATAGGAGGTGGAACTTTTGTGTACTGTGGGTGAATGAGAAATGGGATTACCCTTGTGGTTATAGTCTATTTAATAAAAAAAAGAATAATTAAAATCTATTCACAGTGAGGGCTAATAATTTTAACGCTCACCAGATGTCGCTAATTGGGAGTAAGGTGAACGAACTTATTTGTTATGCGGATGGTCACACAGTTTCATCATAATTGAAAAGTTGCGATTTAATTAAAAGTATTTCAGTTTCTAGTGTATACAAAACAATGTTTCAGTGCTGTTTCCTTTAATTTTTTACACATTTTGAACTTTTTTTTAATACTTCTACTCAGTGGAGTAACGTGCCTTAGAGGGGCCCTGTATCAAAATTTGTCGGGGGGCCCAAATGAAGGGTAAAGATTTTTTACAAATGGAACAAAAACTCTCGCACTGAATTAAAATAATTATATATTGATTATAAGTTATTACTTACAATTAATATTCCTAGGAACTAAGCTAGCTTAACAATTCAAACCAACATCCTGTCCCATAGAAGTTCTTAGAGTTTTTGCTTACATACGTTCGGGGCCTCTGTAGCCCGCGGGCCCCGTGTCATAGATACGGCTGATATGACGGTAGCTACGCCCCTGATTCTACTTTAAAGAATTTTAGAATCCATTTCTATTCTAATTTATCTAAAAATATAACGATTATTTCAGAAACAAATATTAATATCTAAGACTTTTCTAACAAATTAATTTCCCCTGTTATGAAATTTGACAAATATTTTACCTCATTCCTAAGTAGCGCCGCCCTGGTGGCATAAAAAGTCGTTAAGCCGTCATCATTGGTGGCACAGCATAATTGAGAACCTCCTCCTATTTTGAAGTCGGTTAGAAATTGTAGAAACACTGCCATGCAATTCGTCGCTTTTTACATTAATTCTAGCGTACTATCAATATAGCATCCTGGCAGCATAATATAAGTTACATTGATCGCAGAAGTGGATTTATAGAGCCCAGCAAATAAATAAATTAATACTTACAATAATGCTGCGATCGTTGGACCACTCTGAGAGCCAGTAGTTGGAGCCCACTTGAAAGAGTTGCAGCACGAGATTCATGAGGACGGTGATCACCGACGCCAGCACGCCCACGCTCGTCAGGTAGTGCTTGTACACGCTCCATTTCACCTTAACGCATACAACAACATAAACAATATGAGCCTTTTAATTGCATTTCTGGATATAGAACTCTCCTTTTACTACTTTTTCTAGGACTTTATTTAAATAAAACGTTCAATGATCATGTAACTTACACTGCCTGTTTCAGTTTTTTCAGCTTCAATTAACTTATTCTTTTCCTTGAGTTCATTGGGCGTAGGCTCGTCAGGGGTACGTCTCTTTACACTTCCGGCGCGGTCGCCTAGGATGAGAAAATATTAAAATAAAATTATTTTTAGTCATATTGTGATAATTATTACACCATTTGGTTGCCAAATGATTAAAATATGTTACGAAATATTTATAAAGGTAACAGGCGTACCGGCAGCTGGTTGGTCGGATTCTGAAGCGCTCTCAGATAGGGAACGAGCCCTCTGGAGTTTGTTCTGGAACTCGGAGCCCAACTTACTCTCCAAGTCTTGTTTAATCTCATCTAGTTCTGAAATAGAATTTCAGTTTTAACTTCCTTTAGTACGAGCTCGTAGCTGTAAATACATGTATAACATTAATATTGAATTTAAACACTCAGGCGTCGACATCAAACACCACCAACTTAGTCAAACCTATGGTCAAGTCAAAGAGTAGGTCAGGCCAAAGACAATATTCTTTTTAAAATGAAGATAAATATAATAAAGTCATTACTATATTCTTATCCAATAATAAAAAAATATCAACAATTAAAATATCGCATTGTTTGTATGAAGGTCAAGTGAGCGCTAGAGAAACGACGATTGCAAGACGTTGTCCATAAATAAAATGTTTTGAGAAGTTATTAATTACCGTGTAGTGGCGGTGTATGAATATCCATATCAATCCGCGGGTCTCGTAATAGGCGACTAGACTTACAGAAAAGTGTTACTTTTAAATTATCGGTTAAATTACCGTTTAAATTACCGTCACAATGAAAAATCATCGTGACTTTTTCACGTTAATAATATAAAGTTGGATAACTACTTGGAATATTAGAACGACTTATAACGTGACTTTATATATGCATTTTAGATTTAGTATTAGGTTTTATTTCAGTGGTCGACTTTTTATTACCTTCCTCACCTAAGCTACGTGGCTATGGTATAAGTACCTTTCTAATAATTATTTCTGAAATACCGTAACAAGGTAGATATAAGTTAGGAGCGATACGCGCGCTCTATACCTTGCTTATTTGTACTCTAAGTTCTGAACACTGTTATCTATTGTTCTAAGGGGTCCCTTCTAATTATTACATACTCTTTGGCAGGTTTATAACTTTGACCAGTAGATCGCCATACGGTTACGGCCGACGTTTGATAGGTTAAATTATATTTCTAATAAAACACATATTTCTAATAAAAGTAGACCTCAGACCACATTCATACAGTATTAGTATTTTGCTATGAAAGAGGATGGTCCAACTAGCCGACTGCAAAAAAAAAGGAGGATGTTTATAATTAAATTACACTGTTTTCGTTACAATGTTTTCTTTTTCTCTTTTTACGTATGTTACTAAAGGTGGCAAAATAAGGGATGACATTTATAATTAATAATTTAGACGAAATTATGATTGTGATATTTCTTAGACCACTCATAAGAGTTAACTTTTACATAATATATAGACAGACATAAGAGTCGTGTTAGAGACCACGAGACCATTGATCACCAAACCACAACATTATGGTGTACTACTCGTGCGGTTAAAGAAGTTCGCACTGTAAAAATATTACGCTTAGATATTATTTCATTTGTAAGCAACAGACACAAAGTCGTTTTCAACGGTAAGGTCCTCCGAGTAGGTATTATCAATGGGCGTTCCTTAGTGCTCAATTCTCGGCCCATTCTATTTTTAGTCTATAGCGTTCGCTGTAAATTTCACAGTACGCGAGCAACTCTGGTTCGATCCTCGCAGGCACCAATGAAATTGTTAACTGCAATTTTAAGTGCTGATTTACCACGTGCTCGGCGGAGAAAAAAAATTCGTGAGGGAACTTTGCAAGTTTAAGAAATAAGAAATAAAATTATTTCGAAGACGTTTAGTCCGCCAACACGTATTGGGGCAACGCGGCGCACATTTCCTTCCTCTAAAACCCTCTCAGATATGGAAAGAGGTCAGTGGGAGTATATAGGCTGTAACTTTAACTTTTTTTAAAACTTAATGAAAGTAAAAGCTGACTTGAAATAATTTGACAGTCTGCTGTCAGTCGGGTTTTAATTCTTCTATGTCTAAACATCGAATTCAGAATGTGATATTATTTTATTCATTATTGTTCTTTGAAGTTGGCTTTTACATTTTATTAAAAGTTTTTATTTGCATGGTCTGTCGTTTCATCAAATTTCATTTGTTTTGAATTCACGTTAGTTGATGTCACTCTTGTATGTCTTCTTTCTGTCACTCATTCGGGAGGGATATTTACTAAGAACATCCGTAATTTGGTTATGGTACTTTCACCGTCTCGTTATGGTAAGTCTTAATTTTATTCCTTCCATTGTCTTCCGTTCATTGCTTATAAACAACAAAGCACCACAATACCTATCCGAATCATTTTAATTCTCTCTAATTTTACTTATATCACACTATTTCAGCAGCCGCAAGGAAACTAGTTGTCCTTGCAAGGGTGCGGCGGTACTTCTCGCCAGGGCACTTTCTTATCTTATATAAAACGCAAGTCCGGTTGTGCATGGAGTACTGCTGTTATCATTGACTGGTGCTGCAAGATGCCACCAAGCAGCGTTGGAGGCAGTGGAGAGGCGTGCTTTTAGACACATTGATAGCCTTGATTTGGTTGAAACCAATCATGTCAGCCTCGAGTATAGGCGCGTCGAGCATGTGGTAAATCAACATTTAAAATTGCAATTAACAATTTTAACGGCGCCGGTGAAGATTGAACTTTAACACAAGTTCAATCTTCACCGGCTCTGAACCGTACTGTTAGTTACTATACTGTACTTTTGTGTACAGTGAAGGGTTAAAACACGTGACGTAGATGCAACTTATGATGAAATGCTATACGGTTTTCAACTAAACTAGATCGATCTCCTACTTATATTACTGTAGGTTTTGATTCCCTTGCGAGTGTCGAAGATTTGCAGCATAAACGGCTGTATCTTTTGATTGCGTTGGCTTAGAAGTTTTATTTTTTCATAGCTTCAAGAGACAATAGACTTGGCTATTTGATATGAATTTCAGCTTGATACCTCCACGCGTTCCTGAGAAAAAGGGTCTTGACAGAAAGACAGACGGACAACAAAGTGATCCTATAAGGTTCCGTTTTCTGCTTTTGAGGTACGGAACCCTAAAAAAGGCAGAAGGTACTTCTGTTATTGAAATGGTGTGCGTCAGCGTGTGTGTTGTGTGTTGCGTGCAGTGTGTGCGGTGACTACCTTCCGCCGAGGTGCGCTCGGCGTCGCTGAGGTGGTGCAGCAGGAACTCGGCGAAGGCGCCCTTCTTCTCCAGCAGCTGCTGGTAGGTGCCCGCCTCCGACACCTGGCCGTCGCGCAGCACCAGCACCAGGTCCGTCTGCGACAGGTACGTCACGCTGTGCGTCACCCACACGCGCGTCTTCTGCTTCAGCAGACCACTCGGCCCGATCACCTACCAATTTATTATACATATTATTGTATAATGATTTACTACTATCGTGAATACATTTCACATTTTCAAAATCAGCTGTTTACTTGGAGGGGGGGGGGGGTGTGATTGATTGACATGATTCTAAAAAATAACACTTTAAACCTAAATATTTCGCGAACGAACCCCTCAATGGAAGAAATGTTATTCCACACCCTCAATATAGTTTGAAATACCTATCCAACGACACTTCACACGATGGAATAGACGGGTAAAAAAATCATACCCCTTTTACCTGTATGGGAGGTACCAAAAATAAAATGTTTTTCAAGGTTTTATTTCAGTTTTGTAGACTAAATTATAGATTTGTAGCACCAGGTTCTTTGAGTAAAACCACGGACGGACATGGCGAAACTATAAGGATTCCCTGTTGTTTAACTACAGAACCCTAAAAACTAAGTAAAAAATAGAGTGCAAAATAAGAGCAAAAGATGTTTCAAACCAGTTTGCTCATATTGTACAAGTTAAAGTTTGCCTGTTTATTAATAAAAACTAGTTTGACCGGGCTGCGACAGGTGACGCCTAGCTAAATAATTCGGTATGACCCACCTCACAGATCCGATTTTGTAGATCGGTTGACTGTAGAATCTAATGAAAAAGAACTTTAAAATAATTCAATTCCATACTTTGACCAAGTACACGTTAGGAGTAGGGACACAAGTAATTTAGGGTGTACCTGTGCAGGTTATCTCTCTCCTTAGCATTAGCATATAGACATATTTTCTACATTCTGCCCAGATTCTTGCATATCTGTCCCAAAACGGGCCTACGGTTGCTCTAATGTCGTCCGACTATCGAGCTGGAGGTCTGGCCATACTTGTTCTTCCCAAATCCCAACATAGGTTATCCAAGTTAGATAGCACTTTGATGGTCACGGGGGGACCATGGGTTGCTGTAAAGCACCCGAACTTTTTACATTCCTATTCTTGTTCGTAAGCCAATTTTTAGAAACAAAGCCTGCATATACATTGGAAGACTCTTTCCTGTAAAGACCACGGGACTTAAATCTTCTTGCCCTCTTTGCCTAAATTCGGCCGTCATCAATATTAAATAATAAAATACCTTTTCAAAAATGTGCTTGCCCACATGCGAGTCCACTGCACTTAAGGGATCGTCCAGGAAATAATTGTCAGCGTCGTAATACACTGCCCTCGCCAGAGCCACTCGCTGCTTTTGACCTCCCGATAAATTGATACCTAACACAGAAAGTGAGTAGCGTGAGAATTTTTACTAAAAACTAACGTTCAATTGCTGTGCTAACTTAATCTAGTGGACTGCCGTTCACACTTCGCTTACCGCTATAACTCGAGAACCTTTCTTTCCCACCGGTTGTAGGTTCTTCGAGCTATGTGGCCGGCCTATTGCCGCTTCAGCTTAACTATATATATCTATTTAAAGTAATACACCTCTTTGTAGTCCATCGGGGTAAGTAAGTCCCATCTCTCTGCCGTATATCATGAGGATCCAATCGAAATGTTAAGTTAGGGAAGGGAGAAATAATGACAGGTCCTACAGGGACGCTACGAAATACTTAGAGACCTTTGGGTTTGTTTTCTACAAACCAGTTGCAAGTGACCATGGGCTGTAGTCATGCATTTATCACGATCAGTTGGCACCGAACCTGTCCCTTAAGTGTATATTAACATGGAAACAATACTGTATGTGTAAATAATTGACAAAAGACGAGCACGTACCTTTCTCGCCGATCTCGGTCTGATCTCCGCCAGGTAAAACGTCGAAGTCCGGCTTGAGCGCGCACACGTTGATCACGTTGTTATACTTGGCCTTGTCCAGCGGCTTGCCGAACAAAATGTTGTCTTGCAACGTTGCGTTCTGTATCCATGCCTGCTGCGGCACATACGCTATGCTACCTGCATACGTATAATTTGTGGGAAATAATTAACGACTTTCATATTAAAAATTCATAGTCAAGATGGAGATACCGTAGATATACTCATACAGAGATACGTGGTAGCGCCACGCTGCAGCTATATTATGGATGTAGCACGAATGGGTTGCCGTGGCTCGACCGGGGAAGGGCATTCTATGAGGGCGTGCTCACAGAATACCAGTGTAAAAAAGCAGCATTAATAATAGTAATAATAAATTTAATTACATAAAGGTTTCACAAATGTAAGCAAGAACATACAACATCTAAACAATGTTCAAGATAAGATATACAAATATTTTCCGTTACGCTACTGCTGTTTCGAATGGCGAGTGAAGAGAACGGGAGAGCGGTTATTACTGGAAACGAGGCATTCCATCTTAGTTTTTAGAGGTGACAACACATCTGCATTTTGATTCTTAATCGAGTATAGATGTAGATGTCTATGGGTCACAGCATCCACTTACCATCAGGTGAACTGTGTGCTCGTTTGTCACCCTCATTCTATTAAAAGATGTGATTAATATATATTCGATGGTCATTTTAAGATGATTATTTTTTATTTTAAGGAAAATAAAACCGTATGCGGTCACAACATCAATTACAACAAACAATTTAACATCATCATTATAGCCACAAGTTCACAGCTAGACATAGGCCTGCAAGGAATAACGAATGTCACAAAATAGCATGACATAATAACGAAATATGATTTTAGTTTGATCTTTTACAGAACCTACACTAATGTTCATGTATTTAAGCAATGAGAAGCGAATATGTCCGTTTGACAATTATTTCGTATCGTGCAAGGTGCGAGCGTAGTCAATAAAGTAGTTTCATTATTACTTGCATCGTGTAAGTTATCAGAACAAAGCGTGAGATGAAACTTGGGGTTTCTACGGTTCCTACGGCGCCACGATTTGAAGATGGATTCGCATAGATCTCGACGAGATTTGCCGAAAAGTAAGAATAAAATTTTCGATATCTCGCTTAGTTTCCGAGATATTGATGCTCAAAAATGGAATACTACAACCGAATCAGTACGACCCGACGCCAGGTAGTCTTGTCTTCCTTATCCCTATAGTGATTTTTTACAGCCGTAGGTGCGGAGGGAGAGCAGCTCCCGCCCGCTGTAGCAAATTTGCTACGTAAGGGCGACGGGGCTGCACTTCTCGCAGCGCCGAAGCCGTTGTAACTTTGGGTCAATATTCCTATGTAAAAAAAGTAATTTTTGAGTATTGATATCTCGGAAACTTAGCGAGATATCGAAAAATTTTACTCTTACTTTTCGGCGTATCTCATCGAGATCTATGCGAATCCATCTTTAAATCATGTATAAACTTAAAGTGATGAGGCTGTATTACTAGCTAACTCAAAAAATAGCCTTGTTCACATTTTCTCGCGGGCGCGGTGATAAAATATCAAACATTCGCGCGCGTCGTCTTGTAAATTCAACCGGTTTGAAGTTATCGCTAGAGACGATAGCGGGTTTTCATGATATTTGTAATACATGGGAATATATACATGGGAAGGTACACTAATAAGTATGTGGAATGCAGGCCAAGAACGATATAATTATGCTTAAAATTATTTCTTCTTAATATAGTATTCCCTTGAACCCAAATTAGTAAATTAACATGTTTATGATTACGGCTTCCAAAAAATCCTTACAAAATTCTAAAAATACGCAGTAATTGCGCTGTTTTTTCTCGTAATCGTAGAAGTAAGACTTCTTTTCTGCCCAGTAGTCCGGTTCCGGTCTGAAGCGTAGGGGAGACCGGGGATGGTTGACTATAGGGGCAGGTTGAGTTACTGTCAAAAACTCGACCTACTCAAAAGTGTTTCCTCATCCAACTAAGCGCGAGAAACCGTTTTCTACCCCCGCTCAGGTACCATGAGAGCGGCATCGCGTACGCACGTCGTTTGGGAGAAAGAGCTTAATATCCAAAAAGAAATCATGTAAGTAATTGTTTTCCTCTTAATATATTTTATAGTAACGCCTATATATTCGTTGTTATTTACTTTCAAGTAATTTAAAGTAAAAGTCTGATCGTTAATCTTTTTTATTACGTATCATTCTTTTTTATTTCGCAGCAGTTTTGAGGCTATACCATGTGTTAACAAATTAAAAAGCGATCCGGGGCTGGTAGACCAACTTATTTTGGGACTGGTTGACCACCTAGTCAACTTACCACATAGTAAACTGTTTGTCAGTTTTCTTTTTAATTTATCAAATTATTGTTGTTGCAGAATCATGCGAACGTACAAAAAAACTGATCGAGGAAGTACACCCAAAGATGTCTCCGATAGAGCATGTCAACAAGGTATTTTTGATAAAAATAAGTATTAATTCTAAAGCAAAAAAGCCTTTGTTATATTGTTTAAAATACACAACGCCACACTAAACTACACTAAAAATAGATAAATATTTAGTGATGAGAAAGAACTTGCATTAGAAAATTACCTCAAGAAAGCAACTGATATTTCTTACAGATTTACTCTTTATGAACCTCGCAGGTTTGCACTATTTTTACAGACAGATTAACAAGAGTAAGAGAAAAGGAAGAGGAATAATGATGAAAAGACAAAATTGATGAGGATGATACATATTGCTTAGGGCGCACTAAATTACTAATACGCATTTTGAGTATTTCTGGAGAAACACGAACTCAATGCACTATGTGCAAGTTATGGGCCCATGCACAACACTGTGCAAATGATAATATTTTGTTCCATGAATGCAAAAATTGCACTTCTGATTTATTAAAAGACTGATTTGATCATTCCAAAAATATGATCTTTTTCGTTAAAAATATATAATTAGATAATATATTGGTTGTAATTCAACTGTGACCAATGTCAAGACTGTTTTTTACTCGTACTGTACTGTACTCGTATTATTATTAATAATACACAACAGTACAAAAAAAAACAGTCTTGATGACCTTAAGAATTTACTAAGTTAGTAAAAAGTTTTCTAGTTTCAGAAAATAAAAGTATTATGTTTTCAGTGTTTAGTTGACAAATGTATGATTGTTTATTCTAATTTATAATAATTTATGATGTATATTTAAATTGACAGGATTAAAAATTTCGTTGTAATAAAAAAAGACCGGCAAAGTGCGAGTCGGACTCGTGCACCGAGGGTTCCGAACAAATCTGTAGGTATATAAGTTTAAAATTATTAAAAATATTTTTATTATATGATGTAACTAAAACTTTATGCTTTTCGCAATTTTTCCTTTATCTGTGCTATAAAACGTTGCTTCGTACCAAATTTCAAGATTCTGAGTTCACGGGAAGTACCCTGTAGGTTTTGATTCCCTTGCGAATGTCGAAAATTTACGGCATAAACGGCTTATCTTTTGATTATGTTGGCTTAGAAGTTTGATTTTTTCACAGCTCTAAGGGACAGTAGACTTGAGTATTTGATATGAATTTCAGCTTGATACTTCCACGCGTTCCTGAGAAAAAGGGTCTTGACAGACAGACAGACGGACAATAAAGTGATCCTATAAGGGTTCCGTTTTTTTCGGTTCCAGTTTACGGTACGGTACGGAACCCTAAAAAGAAAAAATATCAGGTAAACTGTTACCTTCTTGTCACTAATGTTAGGTTTAAACCTCTAACTTCATTTATCCACCCATCCATAATAATTCTAACATTACACTGCTGAACATAGGCCACTCTCATAGATAGCCTCAAAGGGGGGATTTTGCCATAGTTGCCAAGCTTAACAGGCGGGTTGGCAACCGCAGTTTTTATTATTTTGAGCTGTTATCAGGAAGATGTTGCTCCCTGTCTTCTGTTATAGTTTTCCCTCTGTCACCTCTTACTACACCCACGGGGCGATATGGGGTCTAAATTATTAAAAAAAAAACTTACCGAGCGTGTTAATCCGGCCGGAAATCTTGTCCATCTCGCCTAAAAATGCAGCGAGCAGCGAGCTCTTGCCGGAGCCGACGGCGCCCACGACGGCGACGAGCGAGCCGCGCGGGATGCGCACGCTTATGTTGCGTAACACCGGCTGCTCCCCGCCCCACGTGAAGGTACAGTTCTCGATCACTAGCGGGTCAGCTACGGTAAAACAAGCTCTTTTACTATTCCTTCAAAATGCTAAGCGAAACAAACACTGTCCTATTCATCATCATCATCATCATTACAGCCCTTCATAAGTCCACTGCTGAACATAGGCCTCCCCCAACGAATGCCACAAAGCACGGTCCTGAGCCACCTGCATCCATCGACTTCCTGCATGTCTTACCAGGTCGTATTATTTAGTTATAAACTTACTATTAAAGTACCATGTTTGTCTAGACTTAATTGGTCCTATGTTTATGTGGGATTTATAACAAAAATAATTGTGCCAATTACGTTACATGCCTAGCATGTCATAAGAGCGACTAATGGGACCACCTATAACTACCTATAATTTCTTTCACAATTTTCTAAATGCATACTTATTAGACAAATGTGATCCAAATAACTCGCTGCTCTTGGGACTATGCCTACCACTTCGGGGATAAAGGCGTGATGCTGTTAGATGATGATGATGATAGATGATTAAGATGTATAAAATTATAATTTTAATTTCTTTTTTATTATGTCATTGTAAAAAATTACAATTCATTTTATTAAAACGCGCAACGTTAACGAAAAAGGCGATGATTGCTAATGTTTTTAAATATTCTGCAAAAGTAAAAATCAATTCTCATTCTGTTTTTAATATCATTATATCAATTTCAAAACATTCTATTTTTTTGAATATGTGTCTTATATAACGTTAAAATATCGGATCAATTTCATGTAAAAAATACTCCTTGTTTATATCATAATATTTGAGTGACACAAGTAGGTTTTAGGTATTGCATTACGGAGGTAATATTTCCGGTTTGTGATAATACAAAATAGCTACCGATTTGATTACAATTAAGATAAGATATTGTCAAGATGTGCGTGAAGTATATATTGCACAATGAAATCGTATAATTTACAGTAGTTTCTTTACATTTCTTCTTTTTTTTTTTTACCCCACCAAAAGCGTATGTATGTATGTGATATAGCTCGAAAAAACCCATTAACTTTTGCCTTAAAAACAGCTATACATTGTAGAGCTACGATTCAGCTATATTTTCGTTGTAGCACGAATGGGTCGGCTTAACCGGGGAAGGACCACGCTCTCACAGAATACCAGCGTGAAATACGTAGGTCACTCGATAAGTTTTAAGATATACAAAAAGTATTATTAATATTTATTTCACATCTTTTCAAAATATTCTCCATTATGTTCTATACAAAGTTTTATTTGCCTAAACCAACTCTGAAAACACTTTTGCCAGTCTTGATCTGACAGGTCGGAAATCGCTTCTTTGTAGGCAGCCAGCCACTGCTTCTTCGGCGCTTGAAAAAAACTTGACTTTTATTTTTGCTTTGACTCTTGGGAACAAAAAGAAATCACAAGGAGCTAAGTCAGGGCTGTAGGGTGGGTGACTTACGAGTTTCAACACCAGATTCCTCAATAAATGCTTTTGTTCTAAGGCAAGTTCGTTCTCTAGTGAAGAGGCGTTATCGTGATGCAATATGATTCCCCGAAGCCCTGTAACTTGCAACTAATGCAACTGTAGTATACCATTCAGAGTTGACTGACCTACAATTTTCCAGCATCGATGAATGACGTCGACAAATGTCCGCTACGCGGAAAAAAAACTAGCCACCATTTTTTTGCCAACGTTGCGAGGTCTTTGCAATTTTGTCGCTAACTGTCCTTCTGAGTAGACCCATACCGATGATTGCCTTTTATTTTCCGGATCATATTGATAGATCCATGTCTGGTCACCAATAACGATTTCTTAAACACGCCTTGATGCCCCGTTTTCAAAACGTAGACGCATTTCATGGCACGACACACACGACTCTGTTTTTCGCTTTTGGAGAGCAAACGAGGGATCCATCGACAACAAAGCTTCCTCACTCCAAGATGTTGATATAGGATGGTATGAATGTTCCCCGAACAAATGCTATAATCTTTTCAATGTCCGTATATGAGATTCGTGGGTGTTCTCGCACCAACATTTCAGTAATCCATACATTTTCTGCAGTTACTGCTGTTTGCGGGGCCCCGGTTCTTTGGTCATCTTTAAGATTAATTTTACCCCTTTTGAATTCAGTAAAAGACCTAAAAATTGTTGCGGGTGATGGAGCTGAGTCCCATAATGCTGATTGTAACCGTTGTAAACTTAATTGTTCGGTTAAACCAAATTTATAATTGCAATATATCATAGCGCGCAAATGTTCACGGTTAAGATCCATCGTTTTAAATGAAAAGCACGGGAAGCGTTAAGCTGAACGCACATTTGTCCGCGCCGTACGCGCCGAATTTTACTGATGGCCTCGCACACTTGCACGTACGCACCGTCCGCAAATCTTTTGGATTACCAACAACTCTTGCAGTTTTTTCCAACCACTGGTGTGTAACGGTACATTAGATAGATTAGATTGAAGACATTATCTCTCGGAATCACTATGGAAAAAATATTGTAATAGCCTGGTTATTGGCAGAGGAAGAAGAAAACAAAATTCGAAGAAATAGAAGATTCTGGATTCATATTATTTATTTAAAAAGGCAATTGTATGGAGTGTATTATACTTTATTTAAAGACTTGTTATATGATGATGAACGATTTTTTAGATATTTGCATTTAACATACAAGAAATTTCAAGAATTGTTACATATATTAAAACCATATCTTTCTATGGAAAACTCAAGTTTTAGAAGGCCAACTGAACCAGAGGAAAGACTTGTTGTATGTTTGAGGTAAGTATTATTATTGATAATTAAGTAATCAGGTATAATTGGGTTTTTGAATTAAAATTCATTATCAATTTTTTTTTTAATGTATTTACATAATTTATCACTAAGTATTCATTTCACAACGTTTATCGGAATTTCAATTTCGTTGCAGCATTTTTCTGCCAACCTCTAACCGCAGTGTACATTTAACACTTAAAAAATATAATTCGAAACAAAAATCGAAACCACCAGTTTTAGTGGAAAATCCACTAAGTTGGCAACATTAGACAACACTAAGTATCAACACGCGCCAAACGCGCCGCGTTATATGACGTCATCAGCATTCGTCCTTCGATATAGTATACCTACCGCATTTTGTAAAATTCGGCGCGTACGGTGCGGCTGTAATGTGCGAGGTTATATGATTTCATACAACGAATTCTAAAATTTGGCGCGTGCGGCGCGTAAAGCGCGTATGGCGCGGACAAATGTGCGTTCAGCTTTACAGGAAAATTAACAAAACTTTGTTTTTTTTTCATATTGAGCAATTGGCTTATGTTCTATTTTCAAATAAATTTGCTTTTTAGAAACATATAACACGGGTGCGTTCCATTTTTAAATTTCGAGCATCTCAAAACTTATTGATTGACCTACGCAGTAGCTTAATGCTGCTGTGTTTCGGTATGGTGAGTGTAAAGAACCGAAGACCTTTTTTACTGGAAACGAGGCATTCTATAGTCCTAAGGGGGACAACACATCTGCATTTTAAGTCTTAATCGAGGATAAAATGTAGATGTCTATGGATTGTGTGCTTGTTTGTCACCATTATTCTATAAAAAAAACAGATTGTTTTCGTATGGAAAGGCAGAAGCTGGCAAATTATTCCACTCCTTTGGTGAACGCATTATGAAGATAGGAGAGGAGGCAAACGAGCATGCGGCTCACCTGATGGTAACTGACTATCGTCGCCCATGACCAACTGCAACACCAGGGGGGAATTGCAGGCCGCCCATGAACAACTGCAACACCATGGGAATTGCAGATGCATTGCCGGCCTTTTAAAAAGGAGTAGGCTCTTTTCTTGAAGGTCCCTAAGTCGTATTGCTCCGGAAAAATCGCTGGTGGTAATCGATTCCACAGGGAAGTTGTGGGAGGAAGAAAACATCTTCTAAATCGCATAGTGGTGAACCGCCAGACGGTATGGATGGTATCGCGAGTTTTGTCGCGATGTGCGATGGTGAAATTGAGCGGCTGGAATTAATCCGAACAATTCCTCAGAGCACTCTCCGTGGTAGATGCTATAATATACGCAACGAGATGCAACATCTCTTCGCAGCGCCAGTGAATCGAGCCGATCGGAAAGGACTCGGTCGTCAACGATTCGAGCCGCTCTGCGCTGGATGCGGTCAAGTGGAAGGAGCTGGCACTGGGGAGCCTCAGCCCAGAGATTAGAACAGTATTCCATGTAAGGCCGAACCTGCGCCTTGTGAAGTTGCAGGCGGTGTGCTGGCATGAAATACTGTTCCACTCTGCTGAGCACGCCAAGCTTTTTAGAGGTCAATTTAGCCTTCTCTTCCAAGTGTCCACGAAACTGCACGTCACTCGTTATGTCGACGCCGGGGATTCCGATACTGGCTGAGGCAACAAGGGGAGTGCCTTGAAACTGAGGAGATACGACAAAGGGGGTTTTTTGCAGTAAACGCGCAAACTTGTGTCTTCTGAGGATTAAACTGGACTAGATTTAGTCGCCCCCAATCCGAGACTTTGTTCAGCAAAGACTCTACTCCAGACACAAGTTTGTTCCGGCAAAATAATAGAAATATTGGCACGGCCGGTGTATAGAGGAATAAAGAATAAAATAAAGAGTTATTGCCACGGCAAAGTCAGAGCACATAGGCAGAATTGGCGAGAAACTAGTTCGCCTTCCTTCGGAAACCCGTGCATTCTGGTCTCTCGCCAAGGCTGTCCAAGGGAATTTCTGTAAGCCATCACTACCATCTCTGCACAGGGAGGATGACTCACTGGCCCATGACGCAAAAGACAAAGCCGACTTTTTAGGCTCCCTTTTTGCGTCCAACTCGACTCTTGATGACGGGGGGAAAACACCGCCGACCATCCCGCGGTGTGAGTGCTTCATGCCTGATGTGCTGTTCTCACAGCGCTCGGTTCGCAAAGCACTGCTCTCCCTGGACATCCAGAAGTCGAGTGGGCCTGACGGAATCCCCCCAATTGTGCTGAGGACGTGTGCTCCGGAGTTGGCACCGGTCCTAACGCGTCTTTTCCGGTA